TTGTACATCTACTTTCATATTTCTATATCACTTTCTCTTAAAGAACCGATATAGAATTTTTTTTCGAGACTTCTATATCACTTTCTCTTAAAGAACCGATATAGAATTATTTTTTGAAACTTGTGTTCTTTTATATATCACTTTTCTGTATCACTTTCTCTTAAAGAACCGATATAGAATTGTTTTTTGGAGGCTTATGCTTCTTATATTTATTTTCTACATTTTATTCTCTTCTAGTTTATTTTTGCAAAAATATATATTTAAATATATATTTGAAATATATGTATTTAAATATATATTTTTTCTTTTCTTTTATTCTATCTCATCTATTTACATATGGTACGCTTTTATCGGGTGGGTATATACTCTCTTTAAATCATAAAATAGAAAAACTCGGTCGGGAAACTAAAATAAATTTAAAATAATTACTTTTTAATTTTAAAACAACTGTCCTTCGCGTAAAATATTTGATAGATTTTAAAACTTTCCAAAGTAGGTAGGTAAAAAGTCGATCGGTGTTTGTTTGAAAGCATATAACACTTAACGTGTTGTTTATGTAATCACATAATGCATAGATTTTAAATCCTTTATATTGTTTTTATATATATAACGTTGAAGATATTTTCTCAACATGGCAAAGGTAGGAAAGGCGCTGTCTATATTTTCTACGTCTATGACTCAGACTACCAGTTCTAAGATGAAGATTACAGTAGCGCATGCGTATCCAACTCCGAGAAAATAGAAGCTGAAAGTTAGGTGACTTAGCAGCATCACTTTGAAGTTGCTCTTTTGCGCTTCTTTTATCTTCATTTCGCGTTTTATTTCCAGAAGTGAATCGTCTCGAGACTTCAGAATTAGGCCAGCTTCCATCATCATTTGAATATTATGATCCACGCGATTAAACAACGGCCAATCTTCTCGAGTAACATACGATTGTATCATCTCGCGTAGTATTTTTGACTTGACGAGGTTCTTGTTTTTTATCCGGTAGTACATGTGAAGGCAATCTCCCAGACACGCGGCAGTCGTAGAATTCTCCACAAATTCTTTACATTCGTTGTACGTAACCGACATGTAGCGTGATTCGAGTACAGGATCGCTTAATAACGTTTTAAAGTTCGATGGCCCGTATATAGTATATCCAGATTTCTATGAATAGCAATAACTTTATTATTATTATTATTATTATTATTATCAATTTTCTTTTTTTTATTTAAATGAGTCAAAATATTATTATTAGTATATCATATTATGTATTTCTGTTATAAGTAGCTTCTATTGTAAGTAAACAAGAGAAGAATAAACAGTAAAAAAAAAAGTTTTATCGTTTTTTTTTAACAGTAAAATTATAACTCTTACCTTAAGACCTTCAAGTGTGTCAATATTATGATGATAATAGACGGGCACGGTGAGCAGAAACGACAAATGACTTTGGAACAAGGCGTTAACGTTTAGAATCAGAATAAGTGTCATGCAGAGAAAAATTCTGCTTGAATTGATTTTTGGCGGACGCAGAACTGCCACACAGACTACGAGTCTTATTATTTGCAGTACGGATTTGATGTATCCTTCAGTTTTTGTAAAAATGACGTACGTGAGCAGACACATTAGGATTATTCCCGCTAGTGTTCCAGGCGATAAAAACTTTATTAGCTTGATGAACGATGACACTGCCGGGATCGGTTTTGTAAAAATGCAGAGACTTGATCTTGTGTGAGGATACGTGTATCTATATCAATATCAAATGTTCTTTGTTAAATATCTTGATCTGTGTTATTTTTTTTCACAGGATATAGTAGTTTCTTTTCTAAGTGTGGTAGTTTGGAAAACAAACGAAGCAAACATATTTGAGAAGAAAATTTAAATAATAATTTCAAGACTAGGTCGCATACTTGTGCCGTCAATCAGTAATCTCGGAAATAAAGCGCGAAATTCGGTTTTTCTTTCCAGAAAAATGTTAGCACGCACCTGACTTTCCACAACGAGAGCAGCGATCTCACGTTCATCCCAATATCTATTTTGCCGTCGCTAATAGGTGCCAGCAGACCTGTCAAAGTTTTGTTCGGACCTATACCACCGAGCATATAGATGCTAGATCTGGAAACTTCAATGAGGAGTTGCGCTTTTAGTTTGAGAAGGATTATTTTAATGATTTCACTGTTATCTCCTCGAAATTTTTCGAGATCGGGCGCGGACATATTTATCTTTATAAACGGTTCCATTTCTACAGCGTTCAATCGAATCACGTATCCGTTCAGACTTCGTGTCTTGTCGAAATCCAGATTCTCGCATGATATGTTCTCGACTGTACGACAAAATAATCAAATCGTGTTATTCGTGCGGATGAGTTGTCTAATCAAAGCAGTTGTAGTTGCAAATATATAGTTACCGCCGTCGTATGGCTTTCTTAATATTATAAAAGGATGACCGTTTCGTCCTTTTGCTCGAGCCACTTCTTTCCAGTTACTCGGTGTGTAGTTCGTATATGGATTGTACGTGTACAGAACGATTCCGTCGTCCGAATCAGTGCACATAAATATGACCGAGAGCAAATCGTATTCCCAGGCAGTCCAGAGAAATGAACGAGCTTTTATGCAATTTCGAGATTTGCTGTCGACCAGAATATACAATCCTTCCGAGTTTGCCCACGGTGAATCTTTCGTTTTCTGCGTAAAGAAACGTGACAAAATAAAGAGCATAATCTGCATATTATATGCTTAATACATATCATTTAAATTGCGTTTTTGTATCGTGCTTTACCTGCAAAATAGCCCGCAGAATGGGCTGTGAAGAAGCCGAGAACAAAAAGCGATGCGCCTTTTGAAGCAAGTTCATAAAGTAACTTTCGTACACCGTGAAGGAGTACTTTGTTAAGGCGAACGATTTGAGATCATTAGATCGATAGCTTATTTCATCCAAAAGACCTATCGAAACATTTGCAAAATATCTGAGAAACTCGTTGTATTCCCCGCCTAATATGTAAATCTCTTGGGTCATTGTTGATGGTCGACAAGTGGATACAATTTTTATCTAAGGAACGGTTTTTTGATATGATATTTGTTTGTTATGATACAAATATTTTGAATAAATAATATACTGGTACATAAAAATTTATATTATTGTTGGAACTGCTGGATTCTAAGTAATAGTTATTTTCTCGGTAATTCAACTTACCATCGCTTTAATTAAATTTTGATTGATCGGTTTTTCCAGACAATATATATAATTCTTCAATGTCACATTATTATTAAAAGTACAAGGAAACACACTTGCAATTGATAACGAGACTAAAATACACAGAGATATATTTAACATCGCTTTTACACACATGCATGTATCGTATAATATTACTTATTATTATTTTAACTGCGTAATAAAAAAAAACTAAATACAACTTTCTTGCAAAGATCTGCGAACTTAGCTCGGTTAAAGAACAATTGAATATCAATACGTGTCTTGCAATTTTATTACCGTAGGCACAGTTTCTTTATTTTTATTCATATAAAGATAGATGAATGTGTGCTTTTATTATTTTTTCCATTTGGTTAAAAAAATAACGATAAAACGTGTCATTAAATCTCTGACGTTTGCTATTTTGTTGTACAAGATTATTATCATTTTAAGAAGAATATACCTACAATAACGTCATTCGGTCTAACACAATATGATATAAATATGAATATATGTATATCAGTGCTACCTCTAAGTAATAAACTGGTTAAATTACCGCGCGCAATAAAGTTTCGCGACGAAACAGAATTAAAAAAAAAAGTTTTATTTTTTTTTTTTTTAGAGTCGTTATGCACACGTTCAAGTGCATATGCATTTTGCAGTAGCTTTGTATCTTTTCATCTTCTTAATTGTTTAATTTCGTTTTTAAATATACTGTTAGTGTGCGTTGTATATTTTAGAGAAAAAGAGATTTGTCGTTTAATCAGCTTGATTTAACATTTATAGTAATTTTTATTTATTTTGCAAACTCTTGTTTTATATTTTGTAATTTTATTTTTAAAAATATTACAGAATATCGTCTTCTTGTACTTTTATGATTTTGAGCTTTTTTCTCTCTTTCTTTCTTTCTTGTGTACAAAACTAATAAGCAAAGAATATTACTTTTTGAAGAACTATCAAGTAATGTTGTTTTGCATTATTAAAAAAAAAATTTATCTTTCTTGTGTATATACTTCTATTTCTTTTACTGTTTTGACCTATACATAGGTCTTCCATTTTTCATAATTGCCCGATAATGTATATAATGCACGATTGTGATAAACGTTATTTACATCGACATACTCTGTCATGCTTTTATTTCTGATAGAAGAGATAGCGCAGAGAGTGACATTTTGTTAAATAATTATATACGCTTTCTAAATTATAAGAACACGATAACATCTTGTCAGGTTATAGGAATATTGCGCAATAGTTTTATGTTGCAAAAGTGAGACGACGTTATCGTGAAACTATTATAGTTGAAATTATTAAATGTTTTCAGTAAAAGAGAGAATATAGAAAAAAAACATGGTGAGTGTAAAATCGGATACTATCGATTTTTGCTTAAATTTTCTTTAAAACAATTGTTTTCATTGTGTAATACTAATAATCAATATTTGTTCATTTTAAATTTTATCTCGAATTCTTTATCTCTTATTCGATAAATTCAATCGTCAGTTTATAACTTTATTAACTATAATTTAATATAACTTTATTAAAAAATGAGTTCAATAGAAAAAGAAAGTTGTCTTAGCCACATAATATCCGAACAACAAATTTTAAATGTAGAACGCGTAATATGTCAGCGCTATATGGAGGTATAATTGACAGATAACACGACTACTTCCAATTAGCGTGCGAGACATCCGCGCGAGTGAATTAATGAGCGTGGATAAGCGACAAGAAGATAAGTGCGACGAGCGTGAAATAAAAGAAGAACATGATTCCTCAAAGAAAGTGGGGGAAGTCCCCACTATTTGTACCCGGAAAAGACAACATGCGGAGGATACGAGCTAAGAGAGATAGTGTCGAACAACCGTCGTTGTCGTGCGACGGTCGAGAGTTCGTTTCGCACCTTTGAAAAAGGAACCGGAACCGGTTTTTCGCAGAGAACGTAACGCTGGTTCAAAAGACAAGGAAATGATGCGCCTTTTACAAGGAATCGCGCGCTGGATGTCATCCTTGATTCTGTTTCTTTCAACAACACACGCAGTGTCAGCGAAGCAACCGCATATCGTTTTTATTTTGGCAGACGATTTGGCAAGTTTTTTTTTTAAATACGTTGCAATATATGAAAAATGGAAACTACTTTATTGAAAAAAAAGAAAAAAAAATTTACACTAGTGTCCGAAGATAAAGTGATAAGGAGATAAGATTTCTGTTACAAAACATGCTTAGAGATTTGTAATTAATTCTACCTCAGGGATGGAATGATGTCGGATTTCATGGTTCCGGTCAGATACCGACGCCGAATATAGATGCTTTGGCGTATTCTGGACTGCTTCTCGATAGGTATTATGTCACTCCAATCTGTACACCGTCCAGAAGCGCTCTGATGACCGGCAAATATCCCATTCACACTGGAATGCAGCACGGCGTAAGTGTCAACAAAAAGCAGTGTTTTATTGTTACATGCACCAAACTTGTGTGAAACAAAAGCGCGGAAAAAAAAAATTTTTTGTGGAAGAAGAAACAGTTCTGGCACAATTTTGCTTATAAATTAATCTGTAAATATGTAATTTGATACACAAACAAGTTCGAGTGTCTGGTAAAATGATTTATCTCAATTTTATCACTTAAATTTGTTTGTTTTTTTTTTTTTCATTTAAATTTTTCTCTTTGTTCTACGCGTTAAAATTAAAACAATTTATTGTTTTGTCGATTTTTTGTTTAACTATCGTTATATTTGTTTAATGCCGTTATACCTATATCTATCAACGTGATAAATGCAATTGAGAGTCATTATCAGCACGGCGGAAATATTGTTGTTCTGCTTGCGGGGACGTACAATAAGTAATATTATGCACTCTCGCACTTTTGTCGCTCTCTGACCCGGATTGTTCAATTGGAAATTACTATACTAATACTACGTTATTTGCGTATTCACACACGCACACACAATACATGCGTGTCTACAAAACGGACAAAAGAGCGGATGATCAGTTTATTGCGCGAATATTTCCTTCGTTAGCAGCGCAAAGTGCGTAACTTTTCTTTGCAATTTTTTAATTGTTAAACAAAAAACTAGCGATAATAATATATCATATATCACATAAATATATCGAACTTCATGAAAAATTTAGGTTCTTAAAGGTGCCGAACCCAGAGGTTTGCCACTTCACGAGAAGATCTTGCCGGAATATCTGCGAGATCTTGGCTACAGCACGCACATCGTCGGCAAATGGCACTTGGGATTTTACAAAAAGGAGTACACTCCGACTTATCGGGGATTCGATACCCACACTGGCTTCTGGACTGGACATCACGATTATTTCGATCACACAGCTGTGGAAAATGTAAGCGAGTTTATAAATGTAGGTGGATGTGTGTGTGTGTGCGCGAGCGCGCGATTATATTCCGGTAAAATTACATTATATTTATTATAAATGGCAACGATACAAATCTGAAATTTTGTGTAGCCTTATTGGGGTTTGGACATGAGACGAGACATGGAACCGGCGTGGGATCTTCACGGCGAATATTCCACTGATGTTTTTACGAAAGAAGCAATGAGACTGATCTATAAGCATAATTCTAGTCGACCGATGTTCTTATATTTGGCTCACGCGGCCGTGCATTCTGGAAATCCGTACAATCCGCTACCGGCACCGGACGAAGAAATCGCCAAGTTCAACAATATATTTGATTACAATCGGAGACGTTTTGCGGGTAACTGATAAAAAAAAATAAACATAAGCAAAATGTTAGCAATCGGATTAGTAGCTTTGTAATTCTAATATAGGTATGCTGAGTAAACTGGATCAATCAGTGGGCCAAGTTGTAGAAGCTCTGCAGAAAAAAAACATGTTACGAGATAGCGTAATTATATTTTCGTCCGACAATGGTGGACCTGCCGCTGGATTTAATCTGAACGCAGCATCTAATTGGCCGCTGAGAGGTGTCAAAAACACTCTTTGGGAAGGTAATTTTATTTATCTGATTAATGAGTTAAATATAATAACTTTCTACGCGTATGTAATTGTGTGATTTTCAGGTGGCGTTAGAGGTGCGGGATTACTGTGGTCGCCTCGGCTAGTGCGTCCTGGTCGAGTTAGCAGGCAGATGATACACATTACCGATTGGCTACCGACTCTCATTACAGCCGCCGGTGGAGATCCATCGAACTTAACTATCGACGGCATGGACATGTGGAATGCGCTTAGCAATAATACCGAATCGCCGCGTACAAGCGTTCTGCATAATATCGACGACATTTACGGTGTGTCCGCTATTACGGTTGGCGACTGGAAATATATTCAAGGTAACAGAATTTTAAGAGTAAAAACTCCGTTATAAATTTAATTTAAAAAAAACGCTACGAAAGAGAGCTATAAACAAATGAAATTTTATTAAGTTTTTTTCCTATTTATTTTATATAGATTTATTCTAAGACGCATTGAGAAATTAATCTATTAATTGTTGTAATTAATTTAATTCTGGACAGGATCCACTTACAACGGGGCATGGGACAAATGGTACGGACCATCGGGTAGGGAATGGATCTATGATGTAGGTGGTGTAATCGCCAGCATGGCGGGACGTGCGATCGCTAGTGTGGGATTGACGGTAACTGCGGAAGTTGCCCGAATGCTGCGCGAAAATGCGATGATCAAGTGCCCGCCGAGAAACGACAGTCTGCCAATCTGCAAACCGCTAGAGCAGCCGTGTCTTTTTAATGTCTATCAAGATCCTTGCGAGGATAACAATCTCGTTCAGCAGTAAGTAAAATATGATTTTATATTGAGAATCTTTTACAACACAGAAAATTGTAAAAATTAATCATATTGACGAGAAATATCTCGATTTGTATCGATACTAGTTGTGTAATTTGATTTTTATGTATCGTTAAAGATTTCCCACAATCGTCAGAAAGCTGCAGGATGAACTAAAAAAACTGAACAGCAGTGCAATCCTGCCTGGAAATCTCTCGTGGGACAAAAAGGCGGATCCAAAACTGTGGGATCACACATGGAACAATTTTGGTGATTATAATGATCTTACGGTAAGTGCTGCAGCTTGATTAGTTAGATGTCGGCGAGTTTTTATTTCTCTCTTCTTCTCTTTTGCATTCTCTGTCGTATATAAATGCAATAATATGTATAGTGCCTTTTATAAGTTGTTAATAAAATATAAGTAAGATATATATAGTATATGTAATATATATACAACGCACATATATATATATATATATACACATATGTATACCACATTTTTAATATAATCACAAATACAGTGTTAATATATATCGAAACTTGAAAATGCTCTTTAATTGTATTTTAACAATGCAAAGTTTTGACAATATATGTTACTCAATCTGTTGATATAATTTCACAGCGCTTCTAACATATATATATATATATAGAAAAACAATGTGTACGACAACATATCTAACACAAAAACAAATAAATTTGTAAAATTTGCGAGATTGTATTGTTATCTATTATCTCGAAGATTATAAAATCGTTAACGATGCAGTTGTAATATTTGAAGAGGTGTATTTGAATTTACTTTCGGCTTTGTTATCTCAGTCGATTGTATTGCTGTAAGGCATTTCCATAACTTTGGCGCATCTGAAACGCAAAAATTTGAATTCCGTTTATTTTCCTTTTTTTTGTTAGAGACCAAACGTGTTGTTTTATGATAAATACTCTTATAATATAAATAATATAAGTGTAAAAATAACACACACAAAAATCGTGAGAAAGAGAGGTAATTGCAATTCTAAAACTCAATGCGTTTTTTATACATGCTATTGAAAGTTGTGTTGTTTTTTTTTACGATTATTTACCCGCAGCGAGCAGGCACCCATTCAAGTCCACTTGAACAGATCTCTTCTTGATTGCAAGTACATCTGCACACGTTTTCATCCCAAACCATGCGACGCGATCTATTGCACTCTTTTCTGTTCACGCATTCGCACGCGCAATTATCCTCTGAATATACTTGATGCATGTTGCAATCACTTTTTTCCACACTACATTGACATCTAGAATCAGATTTTGTATTAACAAATATAACATCAATGTAGTTAACAACGGATGTAAAATAATCGTGCGGAAACGAATTTTGATAGCGGTTTGCGGTGCTTCGCACATGTGGCCGCGTTGTGATCTAAAAGTACATCCGGTTTCTTTGCCTTTCTAACAGTTACTTCCTCGAAAATCTCAGTTATTTCAAATGTCAAGTTTTTTTCATAAAAAAGAACAAGCATTTTGCCAAACTATTGAAATTGATTGAAATGTTTTACGGATTATTTTAAAGAAATATAAAAATACAATTTCTGTATTAGTTTGAAACTTATCTTACATTGGAGTATCTTACCTGCATTTAGTATGTTGTTCGACATAAACGTGATGACACTCAGGTGAGTTGACGGTAAATACTTTAATTGGAATTGTTATATTTACTTTCTCAACTCCCACGCATGACTTATTGTGTGGACAAAATCCGCCGCATCTCTTTGCAATAGCGTAATTCGGGAATAAGACGGTACCCGGTATTTTCGATAACAGTTTTACCACGGTATCTCTCGGTGTACACGTCACATGTTTTATATGATTCTTCAGTTGTTTGAATCTTGCTTTTCCTGAGCATCCTGTCAACAGATTCGCACACTGTGTATCTATTTTTAAAATAATCAAGTATGCAATTGACAAAAGGCAGTTGCAAAATACAAACAATTTTTATCTCCAAAAAATGCTACTGCATTTTAAGTGTTAGATTACAAGAAGCGTAAAAATGTTGAATAATGATTGATTTACTAATCTACTATATGATTTTTCTATGTGATTTCTACAATAATCGTTCCGTGTAACATAACAATACATTTATAGCGTATCGTCAAACAGTATATTTTGTAAATCGGTATGACTTGTTAATACAAATATAAATTGTTTGTGATATTATATAACTTGTACAAACCACTATGACAATAAATTAGAATATACATATAACAGAAAGTGTCGATCGATACCTATCTCCTGCATTTCGTGCATTTCGCCGTCTTCGTACAGCATTGTTACGGTAGAATAAATCCGAGTGATCAGTAAAACACACACTATTTCAAGAAACTTCATGACTAGCCGATATGCGAACAAAAGAGCTACTAGTGCAAGTAGTTCGTTTCAGTCTGATACGTCAATAAACAATGAGACGTAGTAAAGTTCTCTCTTTGTCTATTTATACCGATCAAAGGATGCAGCGCGGTGACGATGTGGTTTTTAATTTCATCGGATGTCCGGAAAAGAATTATGCGAGGAAAGACTTTGCTAGTGTACGATAGCAATGTAGTACCGCAAAAAAACGATAAATCTAATAATATACTTTATCTTTAAAAGACACAGATATAAGATTCGTATATCTCGCAAATTATTTGCACTTATGTAAATGATGTACTTGTATTGTACTATCAATTTTAATCATCGTTAGTTCGTGAAGGAAAAGTGATATTTTTTAATACCTTATAATTCGTTTTATTTTTTATTCACGTACTACTTGTGTGTATTTTTATATGATTAGTCGTGTAAAAAAGTGATGTTATGTGTTTGATGTGAGATTGTCAAAAAAAAAAATAAATAAATAAATAAATTACTACTGTGAAGAGAAAGGATAATAAGAAAAAATTGGTCACATAATATGTGTGCAGATTACTAATCCAAAGAGATTTAGAAATAATATTTAGTATTTATTATATTGAATCTATACACGTTATGTTATTCCTTGGGCCACATTCTTACGTCGACGTACGTACAAAGTAAAAAAAGAAAAGTTTTGAAATTATTAAATAGAGAATATATAATTTAGACTGTTGGCTAGAACGTTAAGATAGGTCCTTCCCGATGATCCAGAATATCTATAACAGAAACAATGAAACTGTATATTTATTTACATTGCGTATGAACACGCGCAATGTCATTTTCAGAATAACTCGATTTACCTTTAGCTATACTCCACCATGGTAACGTGATGTACGTCAAAAAGGCGTTTAAAGGTACGGATTGCGCTCGTCTCGTTTCTTTCCAGAAGTGAAAGGTTTGAGTGAATCCTCGCATAGTCCAGAGCGGATTGTACGCTCCGTCGTCTAACTCTGAAAAGAATATTTATCAGTTATCGGAACATATCGAATTGAACGCTGTATTGTGATATCCTGTAATGATTCAACGATAACAGGATGATAATGTCATTCAAACATCGAATCGAACAATAAAACGCACTACTGAGAAGCTTGAAGTTGATGGAACCAGATGCATGTTTTATTGAACTGTTACGAGAGAGTTATGAAAGAGAGGAACAGATTCAAATGATACGTAGATTATGTGCAAGAATGCGTGTATAAAAGCAAACAAAGTAAGGAAACAAGACGCATTAATTTTTGTATTTACTGCAAGATCGCATTATTTAAGTTACATATTGACTCTAATCGCGAATCCTTGCTGCAAAAATAAATCTTATACACTTGTTATTTACTTGAAATCAAAACAATTAACATCTAATTAACAAACGTTTTCTCCTTAAAGATACTGTGTACTGCAAAACAGAATCAATAGTACTTTTACAAAACGCAAACTATATTCGACGATTATTCGATTATTACTATCTACTATCGATGACTATGCTTATCGTTAGTGATGAAATTCGTCCTTGAGAATCACTCATCGAACAATCTTTGGAAATTACCACTGTCGTTACTACTCTGTTTTCTCTTCCCATGCGCAATCACTCAATAATCATTTCTATTTCACCATCCCGCAAACACGGTTGTTAAAAAAAGCTCTTTAAACGGTGTATGTACTACGTTAACAGAGCGAATGAATATACGTTACAATACGATGAAAGCAATATCATGATCTTTGAAGGCGAGAAAAGAAAAGGACACACATCTCGGCGGGAAAAGGGGCGGAAAGAATTTACCCTGTGAGCCGGGGCGGCGCGGGAGCTCGCACCAGTAGTAGATCGCGGTGCCGTCGGGGGTGACACGATGAGGAGGTAGAGGATTACCAGCAAAGCTGCCGGAGAGCGCTCTTCGACGTCGTCTTCGGGGCAACGTGGCGCTCTGGCGACGCGCTGTGGTGTCGCTATTGGTGCGCGTCACTTGCCGGGCGTTTGCATTTCTGTCTCTGATTGTCTCTTGGTCGTTCCGATTCTGGCTGTTGACGTAATCCTCGTGATCAGAACCGGCGCTGCGCAGCCGACGCCGGCCGTTGGCGCGTCTTACCCTGACGAGCTCATCGTCACTGTGCCGCCCGCGGCGCTCTTCGTCGTCGTTCTCCAGTCCGTTGTGATGATGATTGAGAAGCAGATGTCCGGCGCTGTAAGGTCGTTGTTTCCGCGCATTGTCCTCCATGGCGGTCGTCGTTGTTGTAGTCGTCGTCGCGGCCACGTCGTACCCCAGTGGCACTTCCTCTTTACCATGCACTAAGATCGCGCCCGAGTCTAGCTTCTGCCGGACGTTATCGTCCGTAAGACATCGACCGGCCGGCACTAAGATCTCGCTGCCCACCTCTATGTGCGATTGATGTTGATGGTGATGGTGGTGGTGGTGGTGGTAGTGGTGGTGATGATGATGGTAGTTCTGCTGATGATTGTTCTGCTGATGATTGTGGAAACCTGTCGCGAGAACCACGTCGTCATTTAAGACGGCGATTGCACTCGTATCGCGACTACAAACGATCGTGCTCCCGGTCTCTTTTTGCGCTTTGTCTTTCGTATCTTTTGAAATAAAATACACTTTGAAAATTAACAACTTTCAAGTTCATATTAAACATAGATTGTGTGCTTTAATTATCAACGTAATCTTGTCAAAGCTCATCTCAAGGACACGGAACACGATGCTTTCTTGGGAAAGAACTATAGACACAAAGGTTCTACTGAGTCACACAAAAAGCGAGAGCGTTGTTGAGAGCAGAGACAGGAAAGACTAATCGGATTGATCGTTTTCAGCGCGAACGAGCACACTCACCGTGTGTCTCGCGATAGATCGCTTCCTTGCGAATCGGCGAGTTTTCATTCGTTCCGGATTGTTCCTGGGTATTGCGTTGCTTGTTGTGGACGGGATGTTGTTGTTGATGTTGTTGTTGTTGATGTTGTTGTTGTTGTTGTTGTTGTTGTCGGTGTTGTTGTTGTTGTTGTTGTTGTTGTTGTTGTTGTTGTTGTTGTTGTTGTTGTTGTTGTTCTTGTTCTTGTTCTTGTTGTTGCTGCTGGGCCGACAACAGATGAGGTGATCTACGTCGACGAAACGTGCACGGGCTTCTGTGATTTCCCGGTGAGCTCCGCCCGCCCCAGCTGCTATCCTGTACATCGGCTACAAAGGAAAGAGCCGGCATGGCACGTGTCAGTGATTAGAGACAGCATGAAACTCTTTATTTCGTTCGTTCTCTCTCTCTCTCTCTCTCTCTCTCTCTCTCTCTCTCTCTCTCTCTCTCTCTTTCTCTCTCTTTCTCTCTCAATACGCGACTTTGATCGAACCGAAAAATAGTGTGTAGTAATGGTGGTGAGATGGTGATGTTGGTAGTGGTGGAAAAACTGCATCTGTTTTATTCTTTTGGTGTATATTTCTATTTTTTTTTTTCTATTTTTAACTCTAGTTTTGTGCTATGTATTAACGTCATGAAATGTGCGAATCTTGAACGTCAATCTAAGAGACTCGTTCAAAAATCGTGATTGTTTCAACTAATCTAACATGAACTGACATTGCATTTGAATAAAGTCTTGTTCAAAAAAAAAAAAAAAACAATAGAAAAGTGTTAGGACGCGAATGCGAAGAAAACATAATTGCAATGTAACGCATGCGTTTGTTTTCGTTTTATATTGCGCGCTAATGCAATTATTGTCCGTATCTCCGACAGTGTTTAGATCTATCAGCTTCAAATCTATACAAAAGTAGCTAGCATTGAGAAAAAATATATATTGCCGAAACAAAGAGGCATCTATTAATGCCTGTTAATGATCAAGACACTTGTGCATCACATAGATTACAACACAGTAGCATGCACAGACCGAAAGTAGATGCGAACAAAATACATTAAGAAGAGAAAGATGTACTAAAGCTTGTGTTCGCATATCCCATGTTTAACGCTATTTGATAAATAAATATTATATACATCGAATCTGAATTTCATGCGCATAATGCACAAATCAAAAACAAAGAGATATTTGTCACTTCATTGACACAAACGTGTCACCTTGAGCGTTAAACAAGAAATATGAAGTCTCAGTTGGATAGTGTGAAATCATAAGAATAAGAAAGAAAATAATAAAAAAAGTAGTGAAATTTGCTCCCGACTTTGTTTTTTTTATACTTTTACATTGCTGATAATTACCATCTCGAACATCACCGGCTTCGATCTCGCTGAGACCGTTCGCCATGGAATCGAGACCTTCGTTCTCTGATCTCGCTTTCGTGGCCGCCGTGTCGGGTTTCGTTCTCCATCCACCGCGTACGAAATTATTTAGATTCGCGCTGGGGTCGGACAACCTTCGTTGATGGCGATACATAAAGAGTTCCTCGGCGTCGTCCCAGTCGGCGTCCCACAAGGCATCGGTCGCGCAATAACCCGGCTCTGACGTCGGTGTTTCCGCGCCCGAGCCCTTTGGTTTTGTCACGGCCATTTCCGCGTGCCCTTTGCCTGTAATGAGCAAAAATAAGAAGCTTTAGAAACAAATCTAAAAAAGAGAAAGTAGAGAAGACCATAGAAAAAAGACCGTAAAAAAAATTAAAAACTTTCAGGTGTAAAACACTATTTAAAACATATATAAATATGTGTTGAGAAAATTCTCGTACCACGTGGTCCTTTCATTCGCACGAATTCTATTCTTTGCGAAGCTGCGCCGGAAAAGAGGCCGAACGTCATCCGTTGCGCCATTTTGGTACTCAGACTCGACTAAAAATAAACATCAATTGTGTTGTTTTTTACGCGTACAAATTTGATTACATCACGAAAATAAAGAAATGATTTAACTCACTCTCGCATCGTAAACTTTTTTTAAAGCGTCATATCTGATCGAGCCGAGAAAAATGACGCCTTGAATTGCGCCCTCTCGATCGGATGCAACCAGCTCCACGCACACCATTTCTCCGTCTCTCACTAAAATATCACAGAAAACTTCGTCGAAATTGTCCACCATGAAGCATATGTGCGGATACGTCATTTCCTCGAGGTCTCCCTTTGCGTCCATTCGTCGTCGACTCGGACTTGCGTATACCTTTTGAGAATGTCTCCGCAGTACCTGTAAATATAATACATTGCAATATTACAATTTTACACACTTTAAAATTGATTTTAATATATAATTTATATATATAATTTTGAACAAAATTTAACATTTGTAGAAATTGAAAATTTTGTGATGAGTATTCAATTTTCGATGAAATTTGAAAAAAATTTATCATTTAAAGAGAAAGAGATTCTTACTTGCAATTCCTTGGGACTCGTTCTTGTGCAAATTGCTAAGGTGAGTGTATAGTCAAATTGGTGCACGACGAGGTTCAGGTACACGGTTTCCTCCCAATCGATATCAGGATCACCGATTGGCAGTTTCTTGCTGTCTTTGCGGAACACGTCGACCTCGGTCTCGAACTTGGGCAGGTACCTCGACGAAGTCTTTACGTGTTTCTTGCGAACAAAGAAGAGCAGATCGTCACCGTCGATAGTGTGCTCCGCTTGAAAGAGGAAGTGTCGCACGAACAAGTCTGTCCAGTATGTTGTGCCTTGCAGCACGACAAATCCGGAATCTATGAAAGAATTCACGTGTCCATATAGTATAAATTCGCTCGATCGTAAATTTTAAAACTTGGCGTCAAAAATATGCAGTTGGATTCGAAAAAAACGAGATATCGACTAATATCAAATTCACCCTTAATCGATTTGACGTGTAAAAGTGTTTAAAAAAGGGAGAAGATAATGAACGTAAGAGACAAGATAATCGATAGTCATATGATGTGGTTATTGATGAAGAAAGTCTGGCCAGGAAATCGAATAACAGGTATATATTTCGTACCGTACAATTTTATCAAAACAAAAAATTTTAACAAAAACAATTTCTCTTGAAGTCATTTATGTGGCTAAATACATAAATGTTTAGATTTTCTCTTGTGCACGTTGTGTTTTACGTAAATTGAAAACATTGAAGGAACGTAAACAAAATATTTTTTAACATAATCATAAAACAATTAAAAGATAATAGATATAATATAAAATAGAGATATGTTTTGCTATCAGTTTCTTTTAGCGTATAAAAAGTCTACTAAGATTTTAAAAAATCATTGTAAAACGAAAAAAGGAACGGAAAATAGTTTCCTTAATAAAATAACACAAGTTCGGGAGAGAAAACGATTGTAATCTCGATCAGTCAACCCTTTGGAAACGAAACACCCTTTGCATAATTCTTCCGTCCAAGCACACCTTAAATTTTCCGCGCACATTCTCACCCTCGTTACCGAAGCGTAAATATACGCGCGCGATCATACCCCAAAGCGACACGCTGACCGTTTTAAAACCGATCCGTATATATACGAACCATCTTTAAGCATCTGCCGGAGCTCCTTCGTTCTCTGGAAATTGATCTCTTCGAGTAATTGCTCCAACATCGTCGGGGCTCTGGTGAGGCCCGATGAAGAGCTGCTTGCCAGGCTCGCCATGATTTCAACAAACCTGTCGCCTGACGCAGCCTCAATGGTTAACTTTCCTCCCGATTCGTTCCGTTTCTTTCGCGTCTTCCACCTGCTAAGGTGGAAAGACGATTGTCTTTCCGCGTGTTTACCGAGTGCGTCCTTGGCGTCTCCGATAAATCAGAAGCGACGAACTGTCGCGGGACCGGCGATCATTCTCTTTGGAGAACCGCTTCAGCGATGACAGACAGCGGACGCTGATGAGAAGATTTCATGACGTTCCCATTTTGTAGATGAAAGTCCCATCTCGATAAAGGGAGAAAAAAAGCGACAATTATGCGACGTCGTGAACGACAAACGTTTACAAACGATGTGTCGATGAAAGGAAACGTCAACTCGATACTCCTCGTGCGGCGCGGCTTGGCCGCGACTGACCGTGTCGTGTGCGTTTGTCGATAATGCGACGCATGCGTTCGTTGTGTTTCAAGCGTCATCTTTGTCAAAGAGCCGTGTGTATTTATTCAAAAGACACCCGGTATAAAAGTCCGTCGACAAGCTGATGCACCCTACTCATCGTTAAAATAAAGTCCCGGATTCTCCTCGGAGAGCTCAAAGATTATTGTCCTCAGAAATTATTGTCCTGATGTGATTAAATACAATATAATTATTCTACAAACACTTCCTATTTTGCTTGCGATACTTTTTTATTTTTTATAGTTATTCAAACACGTAACGTTGGTTCGGAACTTATTAAAATAGCACTAGAAAATCAACAAATAAAGATAAATGTATTACAAATTATTAATGGACATGGAATATTTGCTATACATTTACTATTTCAGATGTGAGAATAATTACAGAAAAACAGCAATTATGTGTACAAAGAAAGAAGAGTTATTCTCTTTAAAAAATATTTTATTTAGCACATGAGAAAATTTGTCCTGCGTGTGTTTGCATTATCTCGAAGATGTCGAAACTCTAGATGATACGCGCTGACCTCAAACTGACCTCTGATAAAAACGGAAGCACCGTCAGTTGAGACTCGAGACAGACTTTGACACGCTTTGTCGTTCTCGGTCGGTGCATTGATTTGACGAAGAACAGACGTCTTAGATCTCTCGGTGAGTACACCTACGCAGACTCTCCGCAGTTGCTCATAATGTATAATGAGAGACACATCACACGAGTAATTCTGTGACTAAATAGTCGGTCCGTAATTGCACGGTTACGTAATTAGCATATTACGCTTTGGGCGAGCACGTTTATCTATACGCGATCTTTTATATGCATCGAGTTTATAAGTGAATCTTGCTTATTTCATACTGACCGATGTAATTAATTGTGTGTATTGAGTACATTAACATTGTTAACATTGCTTATTCTGGCAACTTTTAATATATATATATATATATATATATATATATATATATATATATATATATATACATATAAATATACAATTGAATTGAAAGAATTTTTATTGAAATTCACAATTTGATCTTAAATGAGCTACAGTGTTGTAAAGAGATAATCCTGAAAATTAAAGCTCTGACACAGAAGCTATTTAATTAACGAGAAAATTCGCGATAAGATCCCATATTGTCGCACCGCGCTTGTTACGCAACAAGATATGAACTGCATTGGATTTGCCTGTAGACGAAACATCTCAAAGCCATAGAGCTCTGGTATAAGCACGTGAAAGGGCTGGCAACATCTATAAAAGAAGCTGTGCTTCGTGATATTCCGCTATTTCGTGAATTATATTAATCTGATAGACGCTTTCGGTTTCTATCTTTGCAGGCGACACAAATGTGTCTGCTGTAACATTTACAATTCGTTTTGTGTTTCTTGCGCTGTGCTAAATGTTGGGTGAGCAAATACGTTTTATGTTTGAATAAACAAGCGGAGGCGAGCCGGAAGCAGCACGCGATACGCGGTTGCGATGAATCTAATTGACAGATGCACAATGAAAATACTGTTTAAGTGATGAAAGAAGATCTGAGAAAACGTCGAGTTTTGTCCGCGCTATGCGCCACGAATCTGTGTAAATTAATTAAACAATTATACACATTAACGTGATAAATTTACACTCAAGTAGTACACTCAAAATCAGTTTTTACAACAAAGTGTTGAAAGTTTTTCAGTAGCTTTACGAATTAGTTTGCAATTAAATCACATTTCGAATAGCTTATTGATTTAAGCGGCTTATTAAATATAATCACACTGTGCGAATAGATAAATTGATAAAAGCATCATATGCACCGCTCGTACGCTTTAATACAGCAAATTATTTGAATATGATTAATGTGCTTAGTTACACATGGTAATTATTTCAATTAAATTATACTATATAATGAACTATATGTAAACAATTATAAAAGTTGAATTACCGTAAGTAATTTACATCACGGGCTAGTTACAACTGGAACATGGCCAAGTGACAGATGGCAAATCGGAGATTACGAACAAAGCGAAGTAATGGCACACACGTGTGCGTCTAAATAATTATTCTTCCGTGTTATGACATATAGTAGATTGCAGTGTCGCAGATTGCAACAATAAGAAAATTTTCTATTTTGTTTGTAATATTATATGACAGATATATCATATGGCAAAACTCTAAATCTCTATTAACTAAAAATATTTACGCAATAGAATGTTTTAAAAACACGAGATTTTTATAAACCTTTATGCTAAGTGAAAAAGTATTGTAAAACTAAAAAAACGTTTAATTAACTTCCTGAACTTTTGATGGATCGGTTTGCTAAAGATGAAATATGATTAATCATCGTGAAGATGCATTGCAGATCGCTATTTGTGCATGTGGCAACTGAGAAAAGCATTGCGCGCAATAGCAACAGAGTGGGAAATAAAATCGCGATTTACCGCACACATTTATGATTGATACAGTTCACTAACAAAGAAATATGATCGTGTATCACGCAACAAGCGTTGCAAATCGCTATGAAGCAACTTTTGAAAATAAGGATTTTTTAATTTAGATATAGTATATAAAAGTACATACATTATTTACATATATTTTTTGTATCTATATTAACAATAAGAATATATAAATAAAAGTACAAAGTTGAGAAACATAATTAGTTATTCAAATACTCGCTAATGATCAAGTCACGAAAGTGTGTTGCGGATCAACGCGTTATTAGAACTCATTTATTCCCGCTGATTGCGGATATAGCAAAGATATGTTTAATATTTAAGAATAATTTTACACGTACTGAAATATGTAAATAAATATACAAAAAGAGAATTAATTAGTTATTTAATTACAACGCGCATAAATTGCTGAAGATAGAGTGCGATAAAACGTGTTTTGGAAAGTGTGTCGCGAATCGTCGCTTTGATCAAGCGAGTGTCATTAGCACTTAATTATCTCGCTAATTGTGATTGTCACGCGTGTATTCATTCACGTGAGCAGAATCGTTGGTAGGGATAGCAGACTCGAGCATACGAGTTCGGCGTCGTCGTATATGCATCAGTTTTCACGCATGTATACACGCGAATCGGTGACGGTGTGGCGTTGTTGGCGATCGAAACGCAAAATTCCACGATTATAATTGCGTGTCACACCGATATAACGTGCGTGCGGTGAAACCGTGAAAGTGAACATCAATCGCAAGGTGCGTCTACAAAACAAGCTTTGTAATCGTGCAAGTACTCGAATGAACGCTAAAAACCTTGCGGAAACGTGTGATTCGTCTCTGATCTTATTTTAGCGCGTTGTAAAACTTTTCGGTGTCTGCACAGAACGTCTTCTTCATTCTAACAGTTTCCTCTAAATTGTATTTATAGTTGTTTACACGCCGAGCTGCGTATTTTCCTCGTATGTGCAAGATATTTTTTGGTCTATTTGTACGAAGCGTCATAGAAAAAATTTTAAATTCTTATATTTTTCGTACACTTTGTACGTAACATTTTGCGACGAAATCAGCGCTTCTATATTCGAAATGCATTAGACGAAAATAATCCGCGTATGCGAGTATAAGAGACATGACATCTTCTCTGCAATTTTCGACTCCGCATCGTCATCGGGCTCTTTCTCATCTCTGCGTTTCTTTGCAGAGACTAACGTTTTAGAAATCTACAGCTATCTCTCCTGCGTGTCGCCGCGGATCTCGAAAGTCAGTCGGAACAGATTGGCACGAATCCCGACCCAGTTTTCAAATGTTCGACTGTAATCGGACGCATTGAACGAAAATATACGACACGCGGTACACGTTGTTTTTCGTGTATCTCGACGCACGTGTCCGAATCGACCAACAATTTAAAATTGATTCACACACATTCTTATGATATAATTTATACTTTTTCCGTATTTTACACAATTATTTGTTTATTTTTAACATTGTTCGTGAAATAAATTCGTTAATATTATCGTCATACGTGACACACATTCTGCTTTGCAAAAACAATTTAAAAGTAAATGTAAAAGCTTTCTTCAGATCGTAATTTTTGAGTCTTTTGTTACTTTTCTAAATTATTTTTTGCGTATTGTTCTCATTGTTTCTTATATTCGAGAAAAACTAGAAATGCATGATCACATGAGTGATGTGACCATGTCACATCAAATTTCAGATCGATCGAATTCAAATCAAAAAACTCACTTGATACAATTTCAGATTTTTAAATAAATAACACATATATTTTTATGAATAATACTTACCTACCTTCTAAATCGCATTTCTCTTTGTTGCTTCAAGCTGTTTAACTATTGTTATGCATGTTTTTGTTATGACAAAGACGTTTATTTAATAATCGCAGAGAGATTGGAAACATCTTGACACAGATCGTAATCTCAAGTGCAGTTTAATCTTTTACACGTGATCGTCTTGATTATCATAAAGTTTCACAGGTTTATTAAGACTATTATATACAAGACCAGACAATGAAGAATAATTTCGTTCATTATTCGAGATTGTCACGGTTATTATCTTGTAGAAACACACAACTCGCATTGTATGTTTAATCGACGAGGAACTAAAATCACCGATTGCTCGATTTTGTGCCACTGTCAATTGCAGCAATTTTCTTGGCGACGAGGCGTGAATTCAAGGGTAGCTCGGAAGATGTGTTCGTTATCGTTTTACAAACTTTGCGAGAAAATATTAGAACGACTTCATTTAACAATAAGAGAAAATATAGTAAAAAGAAAAAGCGTATGATTGGTTATTGTCAACGAATAATTATGTGTTCATTATATCTCTCACTCTTTTTGTTTTTTCTTCTATTCAAATTATTATTTAAATTAATATTTACATATATTAAAAGAGGAAAAGGAAAGAGAGAGACAGAGAGAGAGAGAGAGACAGAAATATAGAAAAATCACAATGTTGAAATTGTTTTAGAATAATTCTAAAATGTTGTTCTTAATACTGGCGGCGTGTCTCGTCGCCATGACTCACGCCGGATGTCCCATGAGACCGACGATAGGACAAACTTCCGCAAACAGGACGCTGGGCGACGGCAATTACAAGATTCTTATGAGCGGACAGACAAACGGATACATACCCGATGCAGTCTACACAATTAGTCTGCAAGGTTACGTTTCTTATAAGTATTACAACAAATTGGCAACTTGAAAAAGCGCAATAAACATCGCGAGAAGTTTTAAAATCATTGCCATGTTGATTTTGTAATAACTGAGCAATTAATAAAGAACATTAGTAACGATACTTTTGTACAGGATCGCAAACAAACGAGAGGTTACAACAATTCACACGTTTCACACTCACGGTGCATTCGCAGCACGCACCAAACAATCTCTCAGCGCGCGTCGGTTACTTCCAGCTGTTTCCGGATTTCACGACCACTTTCAACGAAGATTGTATTAATACGATTTCCGAAGAGAATACATATCCGAAATCAGAGGTAAAATGCGGACACTACACGACGCGTTTTTTTTTCTTAAGAAAAAGAATTTTATTATTTTAGTAATTTACTTGGAGAAGGAGAGGGCGCACAGGTTGAGAATACAAACTTTATATTTGACAGATTCGAGTGATGTGGCGAGCACCGCCGGCCGGTTCCGGATGTGTCATCTTCACAGCGATGATTTTGGAAAACAACGTGCGATGGTACGCCGAGGACGGTGCTCTCACTAAAATTGTTTGCGAATGGACGGGATCGGAAGTCGAAAGTACGGATGAGACTAAATGCTGTGCTTGCGACGAAGCTAAATATTCGGTGAGTTCCCCGAAACGTTCAGCCGACACTGATATCAAACTTTTGTTAACTTGTCTTTAACTCACACTTGTCGCGCGTGCTCGCGCGACAATGCCACATTTCTTGTGAAAATAACAAGTAACGAAAAATTAATGAGCGGTTTGTAATCGTTCGAAGTATCTTGTTGTTTTGTTTTTAGCTAACAATGGAGGGCATCTGGTCGAATAGAACTCACCCAAAGGACTTTCCTTTTTCTGTCTGGTTGACCCACTTCAGCGACGTTATCGGAGCGTCGCACGAGCCAAATTTCTCTTTCTGGGGTAGAGATCACATCGCCACAGACGGTTTTCGACAATTAGCCGAGTGGGGTTCTGCGACCGGTGTCGAAGCGGAATTACGAGAGAAATCTAATCACCTTAGAACGCTTATTAAAGCCGCCGGTCTCTGGTATCCCAATGTCAATTCTAACACGACAACGTCCTTTAGGTAAACTCTATTTCTAAGAGCTTGCAATAATGTGTTTCCATCGAAAGGTGAAAAATCGCGAAGATTATATTCTAATTGCTGATGATCGCGAATAGATTATTTTATAGACTTCTTCTTTTTGCGATTTCAGAGTGGATCGAAATCATCCCCTTCTCTCGGTGGCTTCTATGCTAGGACCATCTCCCGACTGGGTAGTGGGAGTGAGCAAGCTGAATCTATGTCAAAAAGATTGCACCTGGGCGAAGAGCATGTTGATCGATCTTTATCCTTGGGACGCCGGCACTGACAACGGCATTAGCTACATGTCGACGAATTCCGAGACGAAACCGCGCGAGAAGATGAAGCCGATAACGACGTTTTATCCGGAAGATCCGCGATCTCCGTTTTACGACCCGTCCGGCAGACCCATGCTCCCGCTGGCCAAATTATATCTCAACAGGGAAAAAATCATCCCTCACGGATGTAGCGAGGAACTTCTGCAGCGGCAAGTGGTCGAGTTAGAGGTGGCCGAGAACACGGAAGACACGACGAGACGTATGCACGTTCATGCTATAAAAATGTTTCTGTTAATAATAACCGCGTGTTTATTAGTGTTGTCCAAAGCTAAGGAACGGTGTATGTGTTTGTATAATAAATAATGTATGACTCGAGAAAATGTAAAATTTAGTTTTGGATTTTCTTAAAGCGGAATGCCAGACGACGGATTATTCGCCGTGGTCGTCGTGTTCGGTAACCTGCGGTAAGGGCCTAAGAATGCGCACGAGGTCTTACAGAATGCCGCAGAAAGCAGCCATGTTCAATTGTAACAGACAATTGGTCTCCAAGGAAATGTGCGTCGCGTCTATTCCAGAATGCTCGTGAGTACATTGTAATAATCCTCATAAATATACTTGTCAAATGTTTAAACCAATTGAAAAGTATGTAATTCTTTTGAACGTTACGCGATTATTTTACAAATATTGAGTATTTTAATCTTAAAACAAAATGCACTTGAGAAGAATTCAGAATTTCGAAAAACAGAACGTTTCACGTTTCCCGGTTTCAGAGGAGAAGAAGAAAACGATGATGACGTAATCTCGTCGCCGAGTGACAATCCGCTTTGCGAGACCACCGAGTGGAGCGTGTGGTCCGAGTGTTCGGAAACGTGCGGAGTAGGCTTGAAAATGCGAACGAGAAGATTCCGTGATCATCGTGGTCGTAAACAGTGCCCGCTTGTGTCGCTCGTCGAGAAGGAAAAGTGCATGAACCCGCCTTGTCCGCCGGGAACGGAGGAGCAGATCGATCCTCTATGCAAGGTATCGTGCCTATCGTAAAATCGAATCCTCAGACATTTACACGGTATTTACAATTGATAATGACTCAAGGTGACAGAATGGTCTGACTGGTCGCCGTGTAGCGCTTCTTGCGGCAAAGGTGTAAAATTGAGAACTCGGCTGCTTATAGTCGACCCGTCGCTGCAGACGGAATGTTCCTCGCGCGTAGAATTGCTTCAGCAACGACCGTGTCTCGTTCAAGCGGACTGCACATTTGACATGGCGACGGCAAAGGGTAAATTATACGAAACACACATTTTTAGTAGATAAGAAAATAAAGCAACAACGATTCGATTCTTTACAAGCTTTTACTTACGTTTTTTTTTTCTTAAATTTTAAACTGTTAAGTATTTAATATCTAGATGTCTATTCTTTTATTTTTATTTTCTTTTTCCAGTTGTGTGCATGGAGGAGGCAGATCCCGGTCCCTGCAGAGGTTACTTCCAGAGATGGGCTTTCAACCCGCAGAAATTAATGTGCGTGCCCTTCGCGTACGGCGGATGTCGTGGCAACCGAAATAATTTTCTGACAACGGACGAGTGTAACAACACTTGCAACATTGTAAGCGGAAATGTCTTGTCAAGTATTGCAAATTTAAATTCAGTTTCAGGTATCGCTGAAAATTCTTGTCCTTTAGGTGCGATCTGTTCTGACTGGTCAGCTCGTCAACGAGACCGTAAATCAAATTCAGTCAAGTTCATTCAGCAAAACATTTAATCATTCTCGTCCAGATTCTCGCGTAGACTGCGTGGTTTCACGTTGGACGAATTGGTCACCATGTAGTGTCACTTGCGGTCTTGGTCGCGTCATAAGTTATCGTATCATCGAGGTGAGCTAATTATTTGAGCGGAATTATGCAACATGCAGCTCATAAAAATTTTCTAACATCAAGCACGAACAAAATTATTGATATTTGTTGTGTTGTTATTGCTTAGCTGTTTATTTTTGTTATATTTTGTTGTTCATAACTATAGCGCGAAGCTGAGAACGGCGGCCGACCCTGTCCGAAAAAACTGTACCGTCATCATCGATGCCAGCTCGCACCGTGTGATGCATAAGTAAAAAGGAAGCTCTTTACTCGGTGGCATTTAACTTATGTATGTAAGCATCTTTGAGAGTTGCACTCAACGATAAAGGAATCTACACACAAGTGAAAGAGTTAATTTAATAATTATATCCATAAAGATAAAAGCTTTTTACTCTTAAGTTTCTATTTTTAATAAATAGATGGTTATATAAATCGATGTACATTAGTGTCAATATTCTTTTGTAAGTTGATCATGTTGATAAATATTATATAGTGTATTTTACACACTGTTTGCTACAAAATGCTGGGAAATATATAAATATATAAATGTATCAGAATAAATAATATTTTATTAATGGTCTTTTTTTTTGTGCCGTGATTCCTGCTAATTCCCATCGAATTTCACTCAACACTTACGATCTGAGATCGATGTAATCGTTTTTATATTAAATAATACATTTTGCCTCTTGACACAATATCCGTTTAATTAAACTCTTCATCGTTTATTGTTACAGATGAATTTTGTATCAAAAAAAGCACTTAATTGTGGAATTACATGTACACAATTGTTGTACGTTAAACAAAATCAGAAAGAAAAAGATTTTTACAATTGATGAAACCTATGTGTATTATAAAAAAATTGTATATACGTACATTTAATGAAAAAAAAAATGTAATTCGAATTAATTCTTCGGTTGTGAGAAATTCAGTCGGATTTCGACTCTCACTATTTGCACTTTTGCAACTACATTTTGTAATGTAGTATATATCGCCTCAAACAACAATACGGTCGTTGGAACGATTAATATGTCGGATAACATGCTTGTTATCTTACGCTCCAGCTAAGTGATTTGTGCGCCTATAAATCCGCTACAAACTTCGAATTGCGATCAGATGACTTTGGAAAATATCCAAAAATTTCCAAACTCGAGAAGTTTCTCAATTCTATTGCAATTGTTCATCTTTTATAACACGTGTGTTTACGGCGTTTACACGTACACGTTTTGCGAATAGAATTCCATTTGTGCTTATGTTAGGTTACATCTGTAATTGTAAAAAAACTCGATCGGACTCGCAGGATTCGTCGTTTTATTGAAATAAAATTCTGGGTCTATATCTCGCGTCTATTAAAATCAGTTGGTTCCGGTTTGTTCGCGGTAAAATATTTTTGTTTCTTTTCTTTACGACGAACATTCACTCACTATCAACTGAAGAGCTAACTCTTTGTATAGTTCCATTAATAATCTCATATAAACAATACACATAATATAACGACTAAATTGCTACATATCCACCAAGAATAATCGTCATATCATGCGACCAATCTTGAGATCACATGCACATTGCGTAATTGTTTCGAGTAATTTTTATCCACAGCAACAATGTGCAGCTTTATTTTTGATAACTTGTTGACTATGCGTTTTTTTTCATTAATTTGCATAAAAAATTTTTTGGAATATTATTTGAAAAATAATAATATTTTTTTATTGTTCATACAATTCGATGTGATGTAAAAACGATTCAAGCTGCTTGGTAGATGTATAGCATTTTTTTAACAATAACTATATATATATTTCTTTTTTTAAAGACGCTATCGTGAACACGGGAAGATCGATGACATACGGGAGAAGACGGAAAAGAAAAAAGAGTCAACGCGAGTGACTGGACAATGCCCTTAAGGGCTGTTCGCTCTTCGAGAACTTACCCGTGATGCGGATCGCGCGTGATTCGTTTTTTATTTTTAACATTAACAATAATAATTATTATATAATTATTAATAATCATCATTAACGTACACACACGTAATATATAGGAAATAGTACGGACGCTCTCGGTCTCTTTAGGCCACTACTCGACTATATGCTACGGCATATGTTCTTTGGTCGTGCCACTTGTGTTTCTATACTTCTTGCAAAAAATTCAGCTGAATCATGCGAATCGTTTTCCGCCGATTTGATACAACAAAAGATTTCGCAGATATCCGGCAGCCTTTTAATACAGAGTACGCGTTGGATCTTTAAAGCGCAAACTGTCATCGCGATTGCAAGTTCGGTAATGTTCAGATAGGATTGAATATTTTGAACTTTAAGAATCCAATTGTTCTCTTTTGCAACTTATATATATGGCACACTTATCTTACATAAGAATTATTATATAATCACCTCTCGACACCATTTGTGGCCGTTTTAAATTACTTCGTAGAATAAAAATAATAAAAATACGTTGGCAATGATGATTGTATCGATCAATTAACGACTGAAATAAATCTATAAGAAATATACAGAGAAGAAATAAATTATCAAAAAAATAGAAGCGAATCAAGAAGTTGTATATAAGAACTCTGTTCTTCAGTAGACCAGCTACCTGAAGATGCGATAAATATTCGACTTTTTTTTCTATTCACGATTTCTGTTTGTGACGTAACATAATTTATCGTCTCTCAATATAATTAACTTAATAATATAACGTTTGTCTCGCTTTTCCGTTACGAGATCTGACTGACTAGTGTTGACTAGACTATTTACCGCCGACCCACGCATGCCACTTCCGTTCTGGCAGTAATAGTAGTAGTAGTAATTCCCAATATACAACCTATTGTCGTTCCAAGATAATTCATACGAAAAAGTTCCGGCAATTGCGAGAACAAAAAAACTTTCGCGCCGTCAAACAATTAAATGTAAATGTAAGATATTTCATCATTTTTGATGATGTGTCAAAATAAAACACATCATACAGAATATTATTTAGTATCTGTATATAATATTAAAATGCTTAAATTGAAAAAGAAAATATTAAACAAGTTATCTCAGGATAAACTCGCTCACTATATGTATAAAATACATATTATAAAATAAATATGTGTAAAAATATATATAAATAATAAAACAAAGATATATATATATAAACATACCAATAAAAGTGTAATTATACCCGAGCCATTGCTTAGTATCAGACATCATACGATTCACGTATATCAGGAAGTCACACTCAAACTAAAAGACTTTACTCGTGTACGAAGGAGAGTGTTTTCGGTGGGTCGACGAGAAAACTGGGGTTCTTAGAGATTGACGTCGCTCTTACGTTTAATCAGCGTGGCGCGTCGCGTCGCAAGAAAGGCATCATTGTGCGTCTGCCGACGACGTTGGGACGGTCGTTCCGCGTGCGTGTACGATCGTCGTTGGCGTCGTCCTAGCCTCATGGCCGTTGAAAATGAAGCTCGAAGCTAAGATCCGACTGATGCTTCCTGTGTCAGCTGGTAGGCCGCCGCTTGTCGGCGACACGTCGGTTTCCTCAGAGCCAGCCGGTGGACACGTCGTGGCCGGAAATCGGTTCGATACCAGGAAGACGTTGTAGTTGCGTCGCCGATCCGTTTCGCTTCACCGTGATTGACGTCGAGCCGCTCGCCACCACGCTCTCCTCAGTGGTCGACGGTGTCAGTGGAATTGCGCTGACAATACCTCAAAATGAACAGTGACTGTGTTTTATAAATCTCTTTTATATTACATAAGCAATATAAAGAGATAAAATCTTTAGCAATTTTAATTTATTATATATATATATATATATATATATATATATATAAGTATAAAAATTTATTATTATAACAAATATTAAGTAGTTTTAATTAGATAATAATTAGACGGTATTATAATTGTATGTACATATCACTTAAGTTTTCTAATCATTACGGACTCAAGTAGCTAATAATCATGCGGTTATAGATAGGCTGAGCAAACAGTGTACACAGTTATCCTATACATCTTTGTGAAACAACATCCTGTGTAATAATATCGACTCACCTTGCTGCTCGTTGATACTGGTGATCTCGACGATGTCGAGGCTTGGTTGTTGACTTTGTGTGACCTCGTGTCGTCGGGACGTTAGCGATGACTGTGGTGTCAATTCGGGACCGCGAGTGGGTACGCTGCTCGCGCGCTGCAGTTGTTTCTTCGAAACTCTGGACACCAAAGCGGTCGCGACCGATTGTAACGTGCTGGTATCCGGAGGATTTGTGTTGGTGCTGCTGGTCATCGCGGACGTGGACGACCTTGAAGCGGAGAACTTCTTACGTTTCTTCCTTAGAGCGGCCAAGGCCGGACCCAGGCCGTGGCCGAACATATGATGTGCTTCGTGATGGTGAGCGTGGTGGACGTGAGAATGTGAGTGATGAGAATGATGCGCGCTTTGTACGTCGTGACTGACCACTTCCAACGAGGATTTTGAGTCTGAGGAACCTTCGGATCGCGAGCCGCCGCCGTCCTCGGACGCCGGTGAATATACTGAATCTTCTGAACGAGATCTACCTAAGAATAAAAAATAATGTTTGCCTGTGTTTATACAGCTGTATTATTGTTGTTGTTGTCTACACGCTTATATAAGTATTTTTATAGATTATTATTACAAGCCAATAAAATCTTTTTTAAGAGTTTAATTTTAAAGAAATATACGTATAGAGATGATATGTACTGAGATTCATAATCGTGAAATAATAATTGTGAAATATGATTTGTATAAACGCAATTTATTAAGAGTAATAATATCAATTCCTGATTCAAGAAAAATGCTAATATGCAAGACGATTTTCGGCTTACCGATCAGCCTGGAGACTTTACCGGCTTTCGCCGCCTCGATCAAAGTTCCCCAGCGTTTTTTTCGAGAGCTACCTCTAGTGCAGCGTCGTTGTCGTAGCCCGGTGCCCAATCCGGGCACGCTGTTGGTGCTGGTGTAATGCAGGCTCTTCTTCGAGGTCATGCCTGGCCCGAACGATGCTATGCCGCTTAGTGTCGAGCCAAATAGGTCATGATGCGAGGTTTCCTGCTGAGCCTGAGATGCGAGAGACGCGATGAACTCGGCAACAGGCGGCAAATTGCTGCTTCCTCCTGGCTGCGGCGCGATGTTAAAACCCTTCATCAAACGTCGCTCTTTTTGGCGGTTCTTCTTGCCACCCGCACCTATGGACAGCTCTTTAAGGCTACCGTCTACAGGAACAAACAAAAATTTGATCCAACATGCTCAAGCAACCTACTAAAAAACTTAAAAAAAATCCACTTGATACATTGAAACCATAACAAATGTTTTCAAGTTCAGTTGATAAAATAGTTTCTTTTGCAACGAGTATGAAAAATAAAATCAAACTTGTGTGTATGTTCGTTGAATTCGATATGCGACATGTGAAGCAAGAAAAAAGAAACAACAAACTGGAGAACAATAGATAACATTGTTTTTATCGAATTGTAAACGCATACGTGTGTGAGATAAGATCTTCATATCTTACGCATTATTCGCCAATAACCGGAGATTCGAATTGACGCGGCATTTAAAGAGCCGAGGGGAAAATTCTTAATTACAGTAATTATCCCTGAAACTCCGAATGATTAATGGCGCCCCAAGTTTGAATTACAAAGGAGAGTGTTTTGTTCGGTGACTAATATTCACTACTGCGAATGAAACAAAAATTAGTATTCCTCGAAAGAATCTGAGTTAAATTTAAATTTTCGATGCTCCGCGTGACGCGATTAACGATTCGTGGATTAACGCATGAAACAAAGTACGCATAATTCTTCCATAATTCTTATCAAGAACGTATTTATTAATTCATAGCCGTTCATTAAACACACTTGCGTAAGAAATAAACAAATGTTTAATTTTCTGTAAGAAGAGGAAATCACTGAAATAAAAACTTTACCTATAATATTGCTTCGAATGCACGAATCTGTTTGTTAAAAAAAAAAAAAAAAAATGATATATTTACGTAATAATCGTACATTTTCTTACATTGTATTAAAAAAGAAAAAAACACTATGCAAATAAATCGAGACACTCTTTGTGCAGAACACTTGTAAGCCACTTATCTTTCCTATTTCTTTTCGTACAACTTACCGGTACCGCTGCTCGCTGCGGTAGAAGTATTCATGCCGGAGTTCTTCAATATCTCAATAAGCTCGCAACGAAATGCACTGATGTCTTGTTTGATCTCATTTACATCATCCTCTGTGACACCTTCGCCTTCCGCTTTTCGTTGTTCCACTGTCACGTATCTTCTTACCAAATTTCTCATGATACTTTGATATCTGAAATCTCTCTCGGAAGCCTGCTTCACCTTTCGCTGAAACGATTAAAAAAGCAAAACCACTTATATTGAAAAATTTATTAAATTTATTTATCTACAAGTATTTTTATCTTAAAAGATATAGATCATTTAAGGAATTTGCCTATTTCAGCATATCTCTTCACGACATTCTGGTAATGACAGCTTATTCTAAAGTTTGTCATCTTTCACATCTCTTAAAAAGTGCTACAAATTGAAAACTAAATTCGAAACTAAAAAAAGACGCGGATAAAAGAGAAATATTGCGATTGCCGCAACTTAGCAAATTCTTGAACAATCGTTTACCCTGATCGTGCGCATGTGTTCCTTCTTGGCCGCCCTACTGTGTCCACAGAGCTTCCGATACAACCATTGTCCGACGTACCATGCGCTCTTCGGAGTCGGTATGATGTTGAACGGCGGAGGAACAGTTCCACCCTCCTCGAAATAGCTGATCCAAAGTTTGCTCCTCGCGAACTTCCACTCGACGTCGGCGCGCTCCTGATTACGCGAACATCCAGTTTTATCTGTTTCTTCAGCTCGTAAACGAGAACGAAGAAATTGGTAAAAGATGAAGAAACTCACCGAGATTAGTTGATAGGAGTGATTCATCATAGCGATTAGAAGATTCAATAGAACGACGATGTTGATGACCGAGTAAGTGCCGAACATCAACATGCCCCAGAATCTGGTGAATACCTTGATGCCGTCCAGCTCGAAGCTCTCGAGATCAACCAAACCAAAAACCGCCCAGAATAGGGTCTGAATGGTTTCGAACAGACTACTCGCAAAAACATCTTCATCTTATATTGTATCCGAAATATAACCAGGATAATTAAAATTTGAGATTACTGTTAACCTTTCAGTGTCAGATAAAAATAACCTACGAGTTGCTCAGACTGGGTCTGTGAGATCCACGCAATTTCAAGTTTGAATATCTCTGCAAAAAGCAATATTTTTTCAATTTCTTTTTTTTTAATCGAAAGGTTGAACGATTCTGCGTCGATCAAAAGAAACAAATTGAAAAAATCTCCAGTAATTTTGAAGATACAAGCGTTTAAAGAAAATCTGTCAAGTTTTCTCCAAAAAAGCGCTTTTCTAAAAAAATTCCTAACTTTTTGTATAATTTTAGATTTTTACAAAATTTCAACGCAGTTTTGTACAGAGTCGCTCGTATTTTCAGGAACAAAAGTGTCTTCTAAAAATTGTAAAATCAAAAACATTTACAATGAATCTTTTGGGACGTTTTTTTGAAAAATGCATTTTTTCTAGCGCCTAACATTGACATCCCAATATTTTAGCAATAAATCAATATTTAGACATATTCTTTCTTTAAATAGAAAATTTAAACGATTCTGCGACGATCAAAACAACAAATTTAAAAAATTTCTAGTAGTTTCAAAGAAACGTTTGAAACGTTTCTGGGCAACATGACCTAATAAATCGCTATAAATGTACATATATTTTGATAAAATTATGAAAAAAACAACAATTTTTTACCATATTAGAAGTGCACAAACTGAAAAAAAATTTACTTACTTTTCGAAATGCCAACGTCTTGTGTCCAGACTCTCTCAGATCTTTTTTGCACTTCAAAATTCAAACTTCGCAAAGCTATTAAACGAAGAACGCTGTTAACGATTTCTACCATTGTTTAAGCCCCTAAAGTTTTTTTTCATAGCTTTCAGATGTCGCGCTAACTTAAAACCTAGTAGAGACACTGGTTTAAAACTTTTAGGTGGATCTCGAAGACCCATATCTGGCACTGAGAGTTCAAAACCGTATCTAAAGTAAAGTCACGTGACAGGAAGGAGAGGAAAAACAACACCTGACTAAAGTTACGTAACTTTACTCTAGTCACGTGTCTTCAAAAACGTGAATAAAGTAAGGTCACGTGACAGGGAGAGGAAAAATAACAACGTGTCTAAAATCGCTTCAGATGTCGCGCTAACTTAGGGTACGTTCCAAAATCTTATCTTGGTAACCAAAAACTACACACGTAACGTAAAATATAGCATTTTAGTAATCAAGGTAGGACTTTGGAACGTAACTTTAATATCTATTAGAGACACTGGTTTAAAACTTTTGAGTGGATCTCGGAGATCATATCTGGCAGTGAAGGGTTAACATCAGTTTTACTATTGTTTTCTATTTTATGTCTTTTGAAAAACTTAATTAAATGTTGAGAAAAATTCGATTATATATACGCGTTAAAGAGAAATATTTGTACTTTGCAAATCGGCGCCAAACGATGCACGCGTTAGAATCGGTGGTAACGTTGGCGTTAGGCGGATACGCCCACGCTGTGGGACATCGTTTCTTTTCCATGTCGGCATAGTACCATAGAAGTTGATTAAGACCTAACAAACCGTTTGTAAATCAATCTTTTTTATGCTTTTTTTATATCTTTTAGTATTTTACTTATATACTTATTTATTTTGTTTGTTTATAATATTACCGCACGAAAAGGCGAAGAGAACAAGCATGTAGAGAAACAAGAACTTCATAATGTCCATGACCATTCTCGACAGGGAGACTTGCAGCGGGCCGAGATGCGGATTTACGGAGAATATGTAAACGAGCTTAAGCGAGCTGCAACGCAACATCATTCGTATCGTTAATCCAAATAATATATACCGAGGTGTTAGATAGTTTCTCGCGCTAACTTTCCCAATTTTGCAGCTTTTACGTGTGCGCTTTGCGGCATTGACTTTCCAATACAATCAAAAATTCATTCGCGTTCAAAGCGCAATAAACTACTTCACAATGCGCTTTAAGCGCGACGTATATAACCGTGTCACCTAAAGATATAAGGATGTTCTATATCCATATGATTTTTCGTGGACATAGAACACGCTTTAATTCTCAGTTGATGTTATATTTACATAAATTAAAAAAAAAAAAAAATTACAAAATTTTTTGCGTGACAAAGAAACATCATAATGTTATTATTATCTTCACGGAAGAAAATTTAGTTTTCAAAAACTATTTTGTTCACGAAGAGAGAGACTGCACTCTGTTCTAGCAGATTTCAAATCATTTTATATCGGGAAAACCACCACGATACCTTCAACAACCAAGATATACACATACACATAACCGGACATGGTTGCGATTTATTACCTGAAGATATTGGCGGCGGAGAAGAGGCCCTCGGAGATAAGCATCGGGTCCCAAGTGTCCCACTGCTCACGCTGGAGCAGCCCCTCGTTCTCCTTCTCGTTCTGCACTCTGTAGTAAGCCACGACTCTGAGCGCGACCGTGGCCACGTAAAGCGAGTTTGTAACGAAGTCGATCACGTTCCACATGTCGTGCACGTATTCCTCTAGACCCACGTCCCACAATTGTTTCACCTCTGACCAGATCAGCCCCGACACCCAGGCCAATATAAACCTGCGGCGTGTTGCATTCCGGTCATCCTCGATTTTTTTCGATCTTAGCGTTCCAAACGCGAAAGAAATGCTCTACAAAATTGCATGCGTCTCTGCACAAATTAAATTTCAATTATATTCCCGGCTTAAACGCCGGTATTATCACACGCGCGGTCCGATCACGCTGAATTTGGAAATTGTTCGCGACTTTTTTCCATATCCTTTCCTCTCTTACTTTTTGAATTTTCTATATTACAAATATAGTCTTTTACTTTACAGATATGGTATTTTACTTATATATCGATTATTACATGTGAAATACATAAAAAAAAAAAGAATTTTGATAACACTCTATTAATAACGCGTCAAATTGTTTTTTAGATGCAAGATTGATCCGTGCTCACTAGAAATGAGCATAAATTTGATGATTCCTGATCAGCTCATTTCAATCTCGTCGTGAAAAGAAGTCCTCTCGAGATTGCACGCGTCTCCAAGGTTTATCCTGCTTGTATTACTCCGACTTATTGTGTAACGTCTAAGTTCTATATTACCGATTTCTGCGAGAAAGTGTCATAGGCTATAGTAGATACTACATGAAAAAAAATTTTATAATTTTATATTTTACTTTCTGCTTTTCTCTATTTACTTTATCTTTCTTTATTTTTCCTACTTTTTTTTTATTTTTTGTTAAAATTGCTTATATATCTCTCGTGCAGAAAATTCAACTTTGCTATTATTTGTTCAGAGAAATTGAAAAGCTCGTAACATTGTGAGTTTTAAGAGCAATAAAGTGCAATAACATAAAAAACATGCGCAATTGAAAAGAGAGAGCCTTACCATTCCACGATCGTAGGTGCGGCGCCTCTTTTTGTTGGCGTTGGTTCGTTTTCCGCCAGGAAGTCGTGTCCCATCCAATTACCGATCAGGCTTTCTATCCGCTGGCTAGCCAGAATTAACATGACTGTGCAGACAAAATTATGCACAATCGTTACACCCGTTGAGAACTCAGAACAGTCGCCTTTTTGACATCGGATTGTAACTTTGTAGCGATACAGCATGTTTCTCGGCTTCAATTACAAGAAACTTTATTTCAATAAGCACTTTATTTAGCGACTTAATACTTTCGGAAGTTGCAAACAATAAATGGATTTTTTTTATAAAACTATAAGTTTGAAAGAAGATTTATTTTGATTTGAATATATTTCTATTCTTTGCTCAAATACATGTCATTAGAATTTTCTCTTGAGTAGCGAGATAGATTATAAGTCTAATCGTATTGAATAATATAAGTTGAGGGAGAGAGATGTATTGTTTATGGTCAAGCGAGCAATTAATTGTGAAGCAGTAATGCTTCTTAGCCATCTGAATTCCGCACGTTAGTGCACATCTATTATTGGTAGCTGCACCGAAAGGTATTTGCAAACTGTTTGACGTTTGCTTTGTGGATGTTTGATCCGCCAACGTGCTGGAAAATTAAATACGCCGTAGGAAACGCTCAATTTGTCCCTCGCTTTCCCAAATACTTCCGCTCGATGATTCATATTGAATATTGTAAACGCGAAATTATTTCGCGGTTGCGTATATAAAATATTAGTTTGCAAAATAAACGCACTTTTTTTATATAATTACAAATTACATATCGTTAAAACTTTATTTAAAAAACGATAAAGAATTAACGAGCTGTTAATTTGTATGAAATGTTTTGCAATGCAAATTATACAATAAATACGCAAAAACATAGGAAAAAGTGTTAGACAGTCTCTAAATATATTTCTAAATACATGTATTTTCCTTATTTGTACTAAAAATAAATATCTTCTTTTACGTGAAAAGAACAGTCTTAGTTTTTTAATTTGATTGTTCCATTGCATCGGAATTATACGTAAAAATCATTGCTACGTAACTACCATTTCCGTATGTAAAACAATTTAATAATACATATTCGTTCATGCGCGCACGCAAATCGAACGGAAATGCGTTTAATCAAATTAATTGGTGTTATTTTTCCCTCGTAGATGAAAAATTTAGATGCTTATGGAAAATGAAATATGTGTTTGGTTTGCATCATGTGATAAATTTCCTCCGCAGAATTGATTTTTTCAGTAAGATACTTAGCGAGTAGTTGAGCAGGGATTTAATTGCATTACAAATTAATGAAGTGCCCACACGAGGAAGAACGCGAGATATAATAAAATGTATTTGGAAATAAGAGAGAAGTTTGTAAGAATGAATAGAGATATCGAGTTGATTCTCTGATATTTCCGGAATGAGCCGGATATTTGAGTCACGCTGATCAAGTGTGGCGAGCAATCTAGAAAATGGCAGGTTATAGCCGAATGTCGTGCCAAGTGGTTAGATTTAAAGCATGACATAAAATTGCCCAAGGAGTTTAAAATACTTGATCTTATTATCGAGACGTTACATCTGTTTTGCACATGCTTTAGCATAAAGATTTACGTGCGTGCGTGCGTGCGTGCATGTGTGTGTGTGTGTGTGTGTGTGTCTGTGTGTGTGAATCACACACATATGTTTACGCAGTTTTAATAATTTTTAATATTTTTCCAACACACTTTTTTGCCAAACTTATTTCCGATGCAATTTGCGATGCGCGATAACGCGTTAAAATCATTCTACTTACATAGAAAAGTGAAATACGATGCGGAATGACAGATGAACTTGATGAACGGCTTTCTCATAGTTTGACCGACCATGCTGTGCGGTGCGATTATGTACGCCACGCTGAAGACCGGGAAAAGAATACCGATCCTAACGATTTCCAGTGCTTGGAGGAACATGTTCTTCCGTCGGAATCCCGGCAGACCTTCATACCAAATCGATGCCAGTAACTGCTGCACGTTCGGATGCGCTACGAACTGGAAATATCCAAATAATGCGATATTGACCGATAATTTTCGGTCACGTGACTGAGAAAAGATGGCAAGACTTTTGCAATCAGAATTCAAATTGTAATTATCACATCTCTTTAATTAATAACATTAAATTAACAAACCAATCAATGTCTCCAATTATTGATTTTGCGGGTAAATTTACGTCAATATCGAAATCGTCATATCGATATAGTAATTAAGTGAAGAATTTGTAAATACAAAATCATTAGGTTAAAAAAATATGTCAAAATTATAATAACTTTACAAAATTATAAAAAACAGTTAATATTGTTCTAATCGTTGCAAAATTGAAATTATTACAGTTGCAGATCAAATTAGATTTTAATTGAAGAGACGGAAGCGAGTTCAATTATTTCTCGATATAAAATATAAATCATAAAAGTAGAAACTTTTTATTTAAAAGTAACTTTACACATACACACCTTTTTTTGTCTCAGTTTAATTGCTAATTTTAAACGGTTGAGATGCATTCTCTCTCCGTGCTCGAAGGCTGGTCCCGTAGGGTCATGATTCAGCAGGACTTCGAGCTCGTAGGAACTTCTAGTATGGTCCAGCAAAGCGGTGGCAAAATCTTGGCACTGTTTCCGTAGCTCCTGAAATCACAAACTCGATCGTTCTCGATCACGGACACGTCGCAATTTCGAAAACGTGCGTTTCTTCTTCGGGATATTTAATTTTTTAAGAAGTCATAATTTATCTGAGAGAAAATAATCTATCTAATACCGTTCTAGACACAATTGCAAAATTTCTGATAATTTTAGAGAAGAAAAATGTTCATCTTTCCGGATTTGATGCGGATTTGGGTGCTGCGCTACGCTTCGCGCGCGTTAAGAATTACAAACCGGAATATAAGATTCGCATTCATTCTCTTGACAAAGCCAAGGCAAAAGCTTGATCGAACTTTCAGGCTTTCTGCAAGGTTGACAAGCGCTCGAGATTCTATTCTAATCTTTTGCCAATCTTGCCATGACTCTAATTGAATTCTCGTCACGTACTCACGGATATAACAGTCCCCGCAATGTGTCTCGCATTGTTAGCCAACGCGAAAACTTTGTGGAAAATTTTGTCCTATTATTTCACAGAAAGACAAAGATAACGATCGGCTAACGTTTATTTTTGTTAATCATTTGTCGATCGCCAAGTAAGACGCGCTGCTGCTTCATCATCCGTCAGCAAAAGTATACATTTTTTCACATTTCGTAATGTTTTTGACTTTATTTTTATAATTTAATATAAATTTAATGTAAAAATGTGTAGGCTAAAAGCGGTAAGTAGATGAACAACATAATTGCGCTACTTTGAAATTGCATGTTTTATATGAAGATAAAGTAGTACTGCTATCTTAAATTTGCAGTTTGCAACATCGGGTTGCCATCCTTTAATCTTAACGCCGTCATAAACTAAGAGTGTCTTGCGGGAAGATATTCGTATAATGCATGAGATATCGTATATTTAATCTTCTCAGTGCACTGCTTTGCTGGAAGAAAACGCGAAGAAAGATTACATAAAAGATTGATGACAGATCGATAATTTTACATATTGTTTGAACCAAAAAAAATTAGAATTTACATGACATAATTGTCCACGAAACTTAAAAGTATGGAAAAAAAGAGTGTAAATTGCAATCAGGAGAAAAATTGAGAGAAGAATATTTATTTCTTTGGAACGTACAATTTATCAAAATTCTATTCACTTTATTCTCGTCTTCAAGGAGCAGATACTGAAAATTGATTTTCCTATCTTGAAAAATGGAAAAAAATATATAACAGCGGGAAACAAAAAATAAGATGAAAACTTTCTATTTACAAAAAACTTGTGCAAATGACGAACATAAAAAAAAAACGAAATTAATGACGCCGTCGAAACGATTGGGAGAAAAGAGCCAAATAGAGAAGAAATCACAACCAACGACGAAATGGAGAAAACAAGGGCGTGGTCAGGAAAAATATAAAGCAGACTAAAATATAATACGTTGCTGCCATCATATTGCTGCTCAAACGCTGTTACACAACGTGAGTTACACACGTATAAATCAAAACTTGTTCGACCGTGTGATGAACAATCACTTAAACTTTCTACTTAAGGACGTTCTCCTCTGCAGTGGTTAGCAATCTAAATACAGTGGTTAGCAACTTAAAATATCTCTTCTCATGAGTAAGTTTGTACTGCTGTAACAAAGTTAAGTTGAGCTATTCAGCACTGCTAAGATCCGCTTACTCTGCGCAGAAGTTCAAAAATAGCTGCAGTACACAGCGCACATAAATCCAGCAAAACAAAAAAATAAGCAAAAAAAAAAAGCAAAAAAAAAGCTACAGTTTGAAAACAAGGGTTGCTTGCCATATTATTCAAAATCGTATTTTAATTAAGACACTCTCCGCTACCACATACTTGTTTTTTAAAAAAATTCTACAAAAATTGTCAGTAACTTAAAAAAAAACCCTACTTCACAAAGGCTGAGCATAGGAAATCCATGTTAAAAATTGAAACTTAAATCTTCTATATTTTGGAATTTAACATTGTTATCCCTATTATCCAAAAAGGCTACGTATAAATAAGATCATAAACTATGTATATTGCAAATTTAAAGAAAATCCTAGGAAAATCAATAATTCGGAGAACGTCCTTAAGCACTTAGGCACAGCTAGAAAAAAAACAAGAAAAAAAGAGAAGAAGACTAACGGTGAAGTATTCGAAGAACGTACGCTCTTGATCCAACGCTTGAGAAATCACGAAACGAAAGAGACGTCACTATAGAGAGAATCGCGGACGCGTGCGTGCGAATGTACGTGCATCTACTTCGGATCGGTAAATTGAGGAAAGCACATGATAACTGCCACGCGCCGCACCACCCAAGTACTTTGTTGCAAGATAAATTTGTTTCGTGAAATTGGGATGCGCGGAAAAAAAACACCAGAGAAGTAACAGCGCCTTAATTTGCAGTTGAAAAGACAGTTGTTTTCGAGATTTTTCATGCCCTTTTTCATTCATTTTGGCAGTCGTATTCACATTGATATTACGTATGATGATATTACGTGATATAATTATGATATTACGAATTATAGCGTGTGTTAGGAGATTTATTTTAAACATAAAAAATTGCTTTCATAGAAAACAAGCTCGGAGAATTCTTATGACAATGACGCGACACAAAGTTACGCATTTACGAACAAAGCGCATTCTAGAAAAAAACAATGTTCATGTTTTACCTGGTATTCGCACTTGAATTCGTGCTCCAGGAACGAGAGTCGTCGAAGTTCCCAGGAGAGCTCGAACGCAGTCAGAATGGGATCTTTAGACGATAGCGCTATCAAAGATGGCGACGCTAGAGCTCGATAGGCGTTTATTCGACTTCTCGAATGCCTCAGGGAATCCTCCATCCTTGATGTCACGCACTCGTCGCATCTAGTGATATAAATAATAACAACGCGAGATATAAAATGAAAACAGTTCGGGCAATGTTCTAAGGATATCGCTTGGTGAGAACAATGTCCCAAGATTATGTCATTTTTGTACAACTATAATCTCTTTTATCAATATTCCGACTTTTATGCAACAGTCGAGATAAATTCAATTTAGAGGAAATAATTAAATTGATAGCGCGCGATCAAAATATTGTTTCCTTATCCTTTATATCTTACACTAACTTTATATAAAGAAAAAGAGAAAAATGTGGATTCTCAAACACACGATTTTGAATAACAATAGTTTTTGCATAGATTTCAAGTTGAAAAGAGCGCTAGTTTTCGAGTAGATGAAGAATATGCAAGCGCGCTCCGCTGCACACTCGTACAATCGTTTTATTTGAAAAACGGCACTTGTGCGTTTTTGAAAAATTTTCGCAAAAATATTTGAAACTATCTCGCACTTAAAACTTTTTTCTGTTTCATCTATTATATTCAACAAACTCTATTTATCGTTTTCGTAGTCGTCATATAATTTGATTTTTATGTAGAGCGTAATAAATAAATTTTTTTCGATTGTTTACATCATTCAACAATTTGACAAAAGTTCCCTATAGTTTTTTGAAAAGGTATGCGATTACAAATAGGATTTTGCGAAGTTTAATATAATGCTATTGTGTCACAAATTAAATTTTCTCCGTAGAGTATAGTGATAGTGGTAATGCAACGCTCATGTACGCTTAGTCTAATTTAATTAGCTTCTGTCGTGTCCTCACAAAGGGATAAGGCAGTAAACTTCCCCTTCTCTTTGGTGGAGAAATTAATGAACTCTACCAAAAAGAATGATCTCTTATTCGGCAATCAACGACAACAGACACTTTTAACGCACTTGTTGAAAAAAATTGGAACTCATTTTTCTTGCAAACCGAACTTAAAACATCTATACGCGTGAACTACATTGTCTTTTCTTATTTTCTATATTTTGCAAATAATTTATACAGATTTACTTTCTTGATTTTTTTATCTATAAAAAGATATTTACATATAATCTACATTTTGTCTTATTTTTAATTTATAAAAGAACTTACATATACATATTTATATTCTTTATTTTTATATCTCATCTCAGTTACATTACTCATTGGCACGAACAGTTTTTATTGATCAAAAGTAAATGAACTAGCTTAATGGACTTTTGTAGCGTCTTACCCGCATCGTACATCGTGCGGCATTGGCAAAGTGGATCCACGATCGAGGAGAATCTTTATGATTTCGTAGTTGTCCCTGTGGGCCGACAGGATCAATGGCGTAATGTCGGGCGTGAACGTGGCTGTATCAGGAGGTAGAGCCTCCCAGCTCTAAAGGATTAAAGCGCAAGTTATTACTTCCATAAAGTTACCAGCACCGCTTAAAAAATCTCGTTTGAGCGTATATTTCACTTATTTTAGCGCTTTTTTTCTTCGAATTAGCATTCACAGAATGTTTGTCGCGCAATTATAACGTTTTTTTTCCGAGCCTTATATTGCGTGCAGTGCGTTTGTTCCTCTCTCTACGTTTCAGTACGCTTTCCGATTCAACGAATAAAATAAAGACGGTCTCGACAATGAAATAATGATGAAGTAATAATACTCCAAGACTAAACGGGATGATATTTCATTTCTTTTGCGCAAGCAATCGACAAATAATCTTTCTCTATAAACTTGCGCCATTGTTCTATTGATCGGCTTAATCAATCATCGTCACGGGTGGTAAGTTCTTTCTCTCGCGGGGAACCAATTCATCCTGTATAATGATTTCGTCCAGCGCTTTCAGACTATGGATATCATCCCGTTCAAGTTCTACGTAAGCTGATTTCTTAGTAAAGCCGATTAGAACTCTCTGTTAAAAATTTCGCGTTCGTTTTCTTCCATGTTTTCTTTCTGCAGCTTGCTCGTTTTTTTTTTTTTTTTTTTCAAATGTTTTGCGAATTCTTTAATCGTTTCCTTCGAATAACCGCCGCCAGACGAAATGAAGTACTTCGCGTTATAAAATAAATGGAACAACGCGTCAATCAATTTATCATCTTGAGCAACTGTTAAATCTGCATGTCCTGCTTATATGTAATGTTCGCATTAAAATGTAATGATAGTGATCGTGATTTTAAATGCAAAGTTGCGATCGTAAAATGTTTTACAAAAGAGACCAGTAGAAATATTACTTTTCAGTTAAAAAAATTTCTTTAAACTGTACAAAAAAGAGAGAGAGAGAGAGAGAGAGAGAGAGAGAGAGAAAGAGAGAGAAAAACACGTACATGTGGCTCGCCGTTCCTGTGAAGGCTCTCCTCGTGTTCCAAAAGGACCTCTACGGCTTCGACGAATTCCTCAGAGATAGCGTGAAGCAGCGCATCTTTAGTATCGACCTTATGCTCTATTAAAAGCTCCACCATCTCTAGATTTTCATTATCGATCGCCATGAGAAGAGCCGACCGCCCGAGAGGATCCACGCAGTTGATGTTAATATCAGCCTCCTGGGCTTTTTGTAGCATTCTGCATTGACGTAAAGATGTTCGAAAGATTGATGGAATGCCATTCTCAAGATCCGTATAGATAAAAACGCTCATATACAATAAAATTGTTTCAAATATTTGTCGTATATCTTTCTAAGCACATGTGTTTGCGATTTTCGCGTAGTCTATTGCCGTAACTTGGTTTTGTTAAAAAAAAAAGTTTCTTGTATGCCATTTGGCTGGTGTTTTTCCTTGATATAAAAAAAGTTTCCTCTCTTTGTATAATGTCTATCTGTATTTTCCAGTGTAAGATGCACGTGCATGCATGCAAGTTAACAAAGACAATTGTTTAATTCAAAAAAAAGTGAATCGAGACGAAATGTCGAGACAAGATCTCCGTAAGCTTTTTATTTACAATTTACGTAAATATATCAAGAGAAATTCGAAGTTCACCGATAAGATTGAGAAATTGTGATGCTGATCGAGAAATTTGTGAAAATGTGTCTCAATTTTCTTTAGATAAATATATAATAAAGAAACAAAACTAGAGAGATATGGATATCGCGCATATATTTCAATTCACCTTCTGACGGAAGCCACGTCTCCGCGCTCGACGGCGAGAAGATATTTCTTCTCTTGAAGCGACAAGCTGGCCATTTCCTGATGAGGTCTCACCACATTCTCTTCCTCCATCATGCCGTGTATGCTGTGTCTCTGAAAGCGCAACTTTGTCTTATATACGGCTGAAATATACATTTTGAAAATATTTGATGCAGCACCGGTCGTGCAGCACCGTTAACTCGCGAACACTTAACTCCAGATAACACGCGCATATATTTCTTTGAAACTACGCAAATATGCAATAGCACTCCGTAACATTCCATTGAATTGTTTAATTATTTCCGTGCAAATGTGGTGCCTTAAAAAGAGAGAGAAAAATTCTGAAAGGCAAATAGCGTAATTTCTAAATCGTAATTTCTGCAATAACCGCAAAGTTCGTCGCGTATATTTTTTTTCTATGTGTTTTCCTTAAAAAAACAAAAAAAAAACACTTTTGTCAGTTTTTTCTTCCGTTTCTAAACACTTTTGCTTTGCTTTATATAGCTCTATTGCACCGCGCGTTGCACACTTACCAGAGATTACACTAAACTTGCATTAAGTAACATATTTTGTCTCTTTAGTACATACATATTCTATAACGACTGCCGTCATTCGTTGTGGCGACCATACACAATTCAACGCTCGTGATTTTGCCGCAACGCTCATGTCTGAAGCTGCATACGAAATTCGGCAAGAGCGAATACGTCCACATGCAAGAGTAGCTAACGAGGTGAAATGTAACTTGCCCCTGAAGATCAATTGTAGTCTCTTTCGTGACTGCATTTGAAGCATGTGTAACCGTTCTACACATTGCGCGCTTCACATTTCAAAATCGGTCAGTATATATTCTAGTTCTCTATTTTAGGTCTTTTTGATCCTTAGCTTTATCAATTTTCTCACGAATACTCTTTTTCTCGATTAAGATTTTATTTTGCATTTTCTTTAACGCCATCTTTCTTTCTTATATCACGGATAAATTTTTGTATACATAATCGCAATCACCTATATATAAAATGTTATAAACATCGTGTTGCACTGAAATCAGTATTAAATTATAAATTGGCTTATGCTATAATATTTATCAGTTATCGAAAGTTATTGAAACACGCGCTTAGCCAATACTACTATAAAAGTGTCGGTACTTTTCTCCTCTCGTAATGTAACAAACTTTTTCTTACTTGCTCTCACTCATTCGTCGTGATAACTGTTGTCGCATGACGAGCGAGTGTGTATTATATTGTTCAGAACTCGATTCATAAATGTCTGACATGTTATAACACTCACGAGTGGTTATGATTCAACTCAAATGTAAATTTTGATTCAAGGATCAATATGGATATTTTGCATGATCGAAAGCTTTATTTGGTTGAGAATCTCCACTTTTAAGAGACAAATGCGTGGTCGTTATGGTGAAAGAGGGTTGCGTGAGTCTGAACGCGCAATATTCGCGTGTGTTATAAAGTAGATCGGTGTTTGTGAAGGGTGCGTCGGTGTGACAATTAAGGTGTGCCCCTTGACAAACACTCGTTGTCATATGCTGGCCTTCGCAGAGTATTATGTCCTAGCATCTCGAGTGTCAGAATATCCTTGTCGTGTGTCAGAATAAACAAGTTTCCTCTTCTCGCGCGCAGATACGATACATACATGTATATATATATATATATATGTATATGTACAATATATATATATATATATATATATATACAGGGTGTCCGACAATTAGTGTAAAATCTCTCGTAGGCAAGTAGAAGGAGTAAAACTGAGATGAAAAGTCCTGAATTATTTTTTTTATTACATATAATAAAAGAGTAATTATTGAATAAATCAAGCCGACCTTTAGCCGAACGCACGTCAGTGAACCACGCGCCTGGTGTGCGTGAGCGCTCCGCGCAGCTAACTGACGGCTAAAGGTCGGCGCTGATTGGCTTGATTTATTCAATAATTACTCTTTTATTATATGTAATAGAAAACAATAATTCAGGACTTTTTGACTCAGTTTTACTCCTTCTACCTGCCTACGAGAGATTTTACACTAATTGTCGGACATCCTGTATATATATATATATATATATATACGCGCGCACGCACGTGATTGTGATCTATTGTCATTTGACTGTATTGTCTATGACTACTGAAAAGCAAATAAAAATATAATCTATATCTACATAGCTATAAATATCAAGACAAAATGCAATTTTTCAAAACAAAAAAAAGAAAGAAAAGAAAAATAAATATCTGTTAAAATTGAGGATAAAATTAAATACAGACATTTTTCATTATATAATTACGCTAAATATTTGTAGCTATCGCATAATAAATGATCTCAAAAGAGACTGCAAGAATGTAATCCTGTTTATTTCTGTTAATCTTGCAGACGCATAATTTTAATTTCATTAAATATTGACCGTTGTTGTTCGAAGCGCACGATCGAAGTCGGGAACCGAAATTCGGCCACATAACACACCAGAATTCAGAGGCTGTGTGCGGTTTTGCTGTGCGAGCTCATCCGAGGACATTTACGAGGTACTAAAAGATGAAAGCATCACGCGCACTGGAACTTTTCATCTCTAAATAGATTCAACGCGCGTGAGTTTCGCTGTGTAAAGTGCGTCTCAGGATGACAATCGTGGCGACAATCTCGATTCCGGAAACGCGAAGCCGGAAGAAGCGAGGCGTTTCCTTTTTCGTTCTTGTCCTTTTAAGAAATCCTAGTTGTTCGTTGGTTTATGACGAGATGATAAAAACGCAAATCCGCGCCAGCCTACTCTTTTGGTATCACAAATGTCCGATAAACGCGTGTGATTTTCTACCGCTCGTATTTTGCTGAACGTCTTCATCATTTCAGATAAACGTGAAAAACATTTCTCCCAAGCGACATGTTTTCTCGTTTACCTTCTCTCGAAGTAACTTTTCGGGCGTAGCAAATAGCTTTTAATCAACTCGCGATTCTTCGTTCTTTTCAATACGCGTCGCGAGTCAAATATGTCTATTATGCATAAAATTTCTCATGGAACACGGTTTAGACGAAGTTATTTGCGGATCTATCTCACGCCGTTAAATAATGCAGTCGCGAACGAGAAATTCGACTGAGCTTGTGAGGAGTTTTGTTCTATTCAAAGCTTAAACGTCTATGCCATCGATCAATCGTAACGTTCGATATGCGGCTCATGTTATATATCCATTTGCCAATCCTCTATGTAAAAATAATCACCTTCAGTCTATTGTCGCCGTCGTTGTTTGCGCTAAATCCGATTATCGAAACAGCACACACACACATTAAAGTTTAATCCAACCTTACCCAATTGATCGACCGCGCGCGGCATTTCTTTTTTTCTTGTCGAACGAAAAATCGGAAGTAGAAAAGGCAAGTTGCTTGCCGGCACGGTCAACTTCCGGCAAGAGAATAAAGAACGTAAAAAAGAAGGGCGACATTTGTTTTTTCTTCCGTGATTCACAAAAGTTGGTTTGGCGAGTTTGGTTTGGCGCGCAAATTAGATCGACATCAAAACATCATTATCAGCTGTCGCCTTTCTCGTTTCTTTTGCCGCTCGTCAAACTCGAGTTTCCTTTAGAGCGACGAGAAACGAAATTTACGCGAACGGAAACAGTGGTTGCGCGTTTATTTTCATCTTTTGGAATTCAAGACCCGATATAATCTTTTTCTTCGTTACGTTATTAACGTTGGAACCGCAATTTAAATTGATATAACACGGTTATATCTCTTTCCACGGCAATTAATTATATCAAAAAGCATAATCAGATTAGAAAGAAACAATTAACGTAAAAGAGAAAATAAACTAAGGTACAAAGAGAGAAGCTATGCAATATGTTTTTTTACCGCGATGTAAACAAAATTCGATGTTAAAAATAATCTTTGAAATTCTTTATGTAATCGGATGCGTCGAAGATTTATTTTATTTAGCATATCGTCATCTTTTATGAGATGACACGCGTGAATCTGATACACATGTGTTCCATACTTTGACTTTTTTGTCGATTTCCGGTCGTTCAAGCAAATTGATCGTTTGTTGTTGCGGCAGTGGTGGCGCTTCGGGATCGAAGTTTACATGTTGTCCGGCACCCCGTAGGAAACCGCCCGCGGCGGCGATGAGCCGACCCCTCGCTGCGTCTGCCGCCATTCTTAAGGGAAAGCTGTTGATACCACCCTCACCTTCTGGATTACCGTCTTCTTCATCAACAATGTCTTCACCAGGGGTAGTAGCGCCCCTGGCAAATTGCTCCTCATCTTCGTACGCGCTTTCTAAAACAAAGAACGTGCTGTTGAATTGTCATGTTCTTCATCGGATCCGTTGTGTATCAGATGTTTCCAGGTTGGAAATATTTTCTCATAAAATAAACACGAAGGTTTATAGAATTTCGCAGAATAATAATAACATAATGATTCGAGCGCTAAGATTAAAGGGAAGTGTCAACATGTGGCATTTTACGTTAAATTTATAGTTGAGTCTTATTAGAAAGAAAGAATATAATAAATATACTCCTTCGGTCTGTAAGTTATTGTTCTAAAACATTGATAAAAAGTTTTTCTGATAAAAAATTGAGTTTTGTATAAAACTGTGCGTTTTATTTATACCTTTTAGATATACTCTTGCTGTATACGTGTCTACATAAAAATCAAGTGGATTATGTATAAATATTGCTCACACGAAAAATGATCTCCAATAAAAACAACAAAAATTTCGTTGATGAACTATTCAAAGGAATGATGGATACGGGAAACGTACTTCTTTTTAGTAGTCACATGCGAACACAGACTTGCGAGCTGTGCTATATTGTAGTGCTTTTACGGGGCAGATCGTCGTGTCGTAATCTTCGAAAGATGGTGCAATTGGCATGTAATAGCGCCGAAGCTTATAACACTGGCGTACATGATACCTTACATCATTGAATAGCTGTAAACAAAATAGCAAACGTAGCGAGAATCAGCGACTATTAACGTCAAATAAAAAATACCGTCTTCTTAGCTTACTTAAGTAGAACAGTGACTTTTCACAGTGTGTTAACTAGTATTATGTTAGCCGTCAAATGGGATCCACGACGCTTTCATCGCGCATCGTCTACATGATTGCTTATACAACGAGCTTGACTTGAAAATTACTCCACTGAGAAAATCGATGTTGCGTTGTGCGTTTAGTGGAAAATTTCTCGATCGCGTCAAATGTCATGTGTTGTTGCGCGGTAAATCGCGGCGAGGCCAGTAGATTCTTCCGATTCAAAACCGCATTTTGGTTCACCAGCAAACTTGATAATGGGATTAAGTTCAAACCGAAATCTGCCGCTTAATCGACGATTAGGAACAAGTACAGACTTGCAGAGTAGCCTATACCGATGATCGATCCTTCGTATATTGCCGTTGCACCTGTTGCTCGCCATCTCATACCTGTCCGATAAATAATTTTGCTAAACACTCACCGCGTTACGTTCACGTTCGTGTGTGTGAACAATATTCATCACATACTGAGATGTATAGATACACACTACGAATTATAGGCAAACTGTGTTGTTTAAAACAATATTTAATTATTTTAAAATGTATTTTTGACTCTACAAATCTTTGATATATTAATAAATCAATCAATTTAAATCAATATATTTCAAAGTTCAGACACATTCAATATTTTTGCAGAAAATAATTGAAAAGAATTTATTACGTACTATTAGAATCTATGATGCGCGCGCCGATATCATAGTTGTAATTTTGCATAGAATTTTTTTCACACATAAAGTGAGTAAGTTCCACAATTTTGAGAAAAAAAAATACTGAGTTACATTTTAACGAGTTGAATACTACACTTGCATAAGTGGTGACTAAAGATGATCTTACTCTACATCTGCACGAGACAGAGTTATATTAACACGAGTGACAAGAAAACATGGTTAATTACAGCGGTAACGACCAGTCGCGGATGTATTTTGCATCATCAACGTGTTCGTGCGGTGATTTGGGAGTAACTGTGAAAAAAAAGATGTAGCAACGTGTAATTCTCAAAATTTCTATACATTTTGATGCACCGATCATTATTCATTCTATATTATGTCTTTTTTTTCACTTTTTTTCGGTCATGCTCTATTTCTTCTTCTTGTTGTACAGGAAGAAAGTAACAAAACTCGCATTTCCGTGCAAGAGTGTTCACAATTTTATGGCCTCCGGACTCCCGGAAATGCTGTTAATGAGATTTCAAAGAGACTCGACGAGAAACAGATGAGCGAGAAATTGATCAAAGATGCGTTTTTGTCCAGCGTTCTTGACGTTTGTGCTTGACCTTTCGCAGTTACGCACACAGGTGGTGCACGAAGCTTTAATAGCTTGTGTTTTTTATTTTATTACTTTAGCAAAAGCGAACATTAATCAACGCTTTATACGTTATGTCATTGAAACGTAATATTGAAGTATGCAACATTGTATTGCATGGAAAATAGAGAAATTGAATGCGCGTGTGTAAACGCGATCGTATTAATCATATAGACATATGAGAAACCGCTGATAAATTTGTTTTTCCTGTGTAATGATAAATTACGCCACGTAAAAGCTAATAAAATTAATGACACTCTTGCTCTTTTTGTATAACAGCGCTGAATTTATCGAAGTTGTTTTCGCAATGGGAATTTCAATGAGAAAGAAGTATGCGCTGTCTTTTCCTGAATGGCTCATTTGTAAATCAAACAAAACTTCGATATTTATTCAATAAATTTGCGTTAAGCGACTTACGATTGTTTTTAAGAGATAAATCGAGAGAGAGAGAGAGAGAGAGAGAGAGAGAATATAAAAAGAAATATACAGTCCTTCATTTATGAAAATACAAATTGTTTTTTATAACTTGATTAAATATTTCAAAGACTTGTTAAAGAACTCAAAATCTTTCTTTGTTGATATATTTTTGTTTCTTTTATGTATATATAGTAAACGTTATATACTATTAAAAAGTAAATAATGTAGCTACTATACTCGTTGAAGAAGAAATAAACTGCGTTCCGAAATTTACTGCCAGTAGCGAAAATCTATAATATATCTCACACAAACTATAAAGTTTCAGTACTGACGGTGAATAACAAAACTATAGCATTTTTTTAAAATCAGTTTACAAAATAAGCAGATTAATCGGGACGTGAGAGAGAGACTAAAGCTCGAGACACACGATAGTTGATTTTATATTGAGTCGTATACTATTTGGCGAGAGAGCTTTTGAAAAGTCAGAATGTCGAACTCCGGCTATATCTATTCTGCTCCTTTACGAGCGATAAAGCTCGTATAATTAATGACTCACCTAGTAGCTCCGAAAGGAACGTGTGTTGCATGGAAACAGGCGAATTTAATTTCGCGATGGTTAAGCGAAGCCGTTCGTCTCTCTCTAATTTTTCGTCCCCTACGATGACCCGATTGCTTTTGACGTCGCCCGAAAAAAAATAGGTCGTTCGGCCTGGTGAGGGCAAACCGTCGGGGCAAAAAGCTATATTATAGTTGTGAAAGGTTGTCGGACTTGAATTCCGCCGCGGAATTTTCTGCCAAGTTACGAATTTTAAATCCGTCTGTGTGCTGTTAGGTACGGATGACATATCGCGTGTCTGAAACACAAGGAGTGATAAAACCCTGACAGATTTTACCAACCTAATCCGCTCTCTTAAATGGATCGTAGATATTTTACTCGCGTAACTGCATATAATTTCCGCGGCGCTCTCTTTCTCTCTTTTTTTCTCTTTCTCTCTCTTTCTCTCTCTCTCTCTCTCTCTCTCTCTCTCTCTCTCACACACACACACACACGCGCGCGCGTGCGCGTTATCATATTTATTATCTACTAAGATACAAGACACTCGAAAATTATAAAAATTACCAAAATTTTTGTTTGTGCTACTTTTCATTGCTATTGCTATAACTTTATAATTTATTTTTCTCGATACACAATGACGCGTATTCGAAAAAATAATCCGCGACAAGAGTTTAGAGATAAATTTTTTAAATTTATGTTGTGTGTAGATTATCGAGGAAAACGCTTCTTCGAAGATATCACTATTTATCAGTTTATCCATTTCTCTGCAGAAGAAGTTATGAGGTCCAACTTTACCTACAGAAGGAACCTTTCTGACGCTGCAAAACATCCTCTTGTCAGTCGCGGAATAATATCGTTCTCTTTATAGAAAAGTGCGCTCTTTAAATATCTCTTTAATGTATCGATGCGCGTGTGTTTTACGCTTAAAATTGAAATTTTTAAATCCGTTAGAGCAAATCTTCTTTTTGAAAAACACGAAAGTAAATTATTATAGAAAATTGCGAACCAATATCGTGATGTTGTTCGAAAACACGCTGCAATAATACCATACCGTAATTCACGCGTGTAATCTTCGAATCTGTAATGGCGCGCAACACATCGATTTTCTCTGCATTAGCTAATTCTTTTTCTTTTTGTCGGCTAGTTATACACGAAGCAAATTTACACGATCTCTGAAATAAATGAGTGCGTTTCTGTCGGCCGTGGCTTCTGTAACGAGAGTCGCCGCCTCGCGTGAGCACACGCGCACCGTGTTTTCGTTTTGGCGAAAAGCCAACGTCGTGAAGCGTCCTTTATGCAAACGTGCCTACCGAGAGATGTTCATCAAGCTTAACATAGCATAGGAAACCTTCGTCTGACCCAAAACAATCCGCTACTATTATTACATAGTCTGAGAGAATTTAATAATCATCTTTTATTTTTATTAAAAATTTTGTTTTGCGTGTGCGCTTAATTGTACAGTTTGCAAAATAATTCGTGACTTGTATTGGATGAAAAAAGAATTGAATCAAGACAAAACAATTGAAAGATAGATTATTTTTCTACATCAAAAATTACGATATAGTTTTGAACTAATACATTAATAACAACGCGTGAAGAATTTACGTATTTAATCAAGTTTAATATTGACAAATAATCACTTGTACATACATACGCGCGAATATTAGTTTTATTTTTAACTAATTTACGTTATATAGAAATTATACATATCTCACATGCACACATAATACAATCGATATATGATCGTTTTATTGTCGTAACGCGAAAGATATTTTATGATAATAGACTAAAATTAAATATTGCTTTTCCTTTTTATTTTAATTTAAATATTCTACGTTGAACATGGGTTACCATCGTGCGGAAGCCATGAACACGAAATAAAAGCTCCTCGCATCATGCGGCACAGCTGGATGCAACTCGTGCCTGCTGGTCGTAATGAACACCAGCGTGCGAATAAACGAACATGGGCCATTAGTGCGTATAATGAAAATGATTAATAGTGATCGAGAGAAATTGTCCGATAGCCTCATAAATTGCAAGGCAATATTCGAGTGCATCCAAATTGAGCTTTTTAAGGTTCCTTAGTCCAACTATATTGAATTATGACGTCAGAAATCAAATTTTCATATTTATTTCGTTATATTTATTTCGAAATAAACGAAAATATCGTTTTACCGCCATTGACATTCAAAAGTATAAATTAGTATACATTTGCTAAAACTTCCTTTTTCGTTCCGCATTGATGACTGTTAACAATGTGTTATTATAATATACACGTCTTCTAATTGTGCAGTCTCTGACAAAAATATTATAAAATCAATAAATAAAATGTTTCCGTTGCATTATATATAAAAATGTTACACAATTGCTCATGAATTCAAAAATCATGAGAAAAAGAAAGATTTGTTTGACACGATGATTTTATCACGATAGCACATGATCTCGCCTACGCATAATAGTCATTCTGTCAGAGATGCCAATAGTGAATGACAAACGAGCATCCGTATGATAATGAATTATCTCTCAATTTATATAATGACTGTGTTTGCACGCAAAATTATTTAACTAACTAATGAGCAATAAAGATATAAATCATAATAATCGATAATAATTACGATCAACAATTCTCGGTCGCTTTCCCCTATGCAATTGTTTGCCAATCATCAGGAGTATAATTTTATTTACGATTTATTTCAATTCAAGGAACACAATTTATTTGAGTTTGAAATTCCGGTTTAAATTATTTAAAAAATCGATAAACATTTATCCCAAGTTGGAGCAAATATTTCGAACTTCCAATGAGTCGCGATCAAGTTAATCAATTTTTCAAAGCGAAAATTCTTCTTTAACGTTCGATTGATTTATACTAGCTGCGCTTCGCGCGAACTTTTCCAATTAAGATCGCCGGCATTTCAAAAAGTAGACCCGATTATTAAGTCACGCTCAATGAAGCTCGGTTTAATCTGAGTGCAATTTACGGTACGATTCATTGGCGAGAGGTCAATGTGCGGTAAACAAATGCGTTTAATGTTGTTGCTTGTATATATACTACTGTCCATATAAACGGACAGGACGTGCAGTCGAATATATATTTGTTAAATTTGTTATTAGAATTGCACACAAACACACACACACACACACACAAAAGCTAAAACCGATAGGTCGCGACGTAAATAAGAAGTCAATGATATTGCCAGCTTATACCGGAAACTTACGTTTTGCCGAATTCTAGCTAACCGTGTGCACGATTAAGCTAATGGGGAAATCGCGTTATGTCAAAAGGAAACATCGCGGAAAAGGGACATCAATTTTGAAAGTTACCGCGACCTAGTTAGATTATTGCGGGAGGAAAACGCGAATATCCATCATCGTCTGACGTATTGCCGACCGTATCTACTTGTAGCGCGCTCCAGCTTTTTAAAAACCCGGCCGAAGTTTGCACTTCTACTAATTTCGAGGAATTCGCTGCAGTGTGTATTGCAATACATACATGCTAAACTAAATATAGCAGTTGCTTTCATTTGCCGACAAATATATTGTATATAAAAAATAATATATTGTAAAAAACAAACTGTCCGTATGTTACAAAATATAGCAATATACGCATATAAATTTATATTTTTATATTTTTAAAATATTCTTGTACCTTGACTGGCTAATGAACTGAACTAAAAATATAACATTCGACAAGGCAAGATTTGATCTCTCAACTTGATATTGCAAATCAAAATTTAGAAACGTAATCACGAAGATATTGACGGAAGAAGCACATTAGCGTCGTGATAGAAATGACAGGTCTATAAGTGAACAAAGCGAAGAGTCAAAGTTTTGGTCATTAGAAATCCGATAAGCGAGTATCTCTCTTTTACCGAACTGCCGGAATCAGGGTTTCCTATTACAAGCCCGCTGATGGACCGCTTGAGAAGAAAAAATTTCGAAGGATAATGCGCGGAATAATGTTCTGAGGCGTTTCTTGCTGAAGAAAAAACTTACAACGGGGTTTTTTTTCGACGAGATAACGGAAAGCGTGTGCTTTCTAGAAGAGATGTAGCAAAGAGTCCGCGTTTCTCGAAATTCGCTTTTCCTCCTTCCGCGCTTTTTTCTATTCCCTAGCGTGACAAGAAAGACCATCATGTTGAGTACTAATAATGAGCACATCGAAGAGTAAATTTATACATATTCAGAGAAGAGCATATACGTTTTCATCAGCCCGTGCGACGCCTTTGTTTTCTTGTACACCAAAAGACTTTTCCAACAGATGGTCGCATTAATAATGCACTACTACTTTATGCGGAAAAATACGATAAAAAAGTCAACAAACTTAGAATTTCAAATTTGTCTCTTTCTCTTTCTGCCTTAATTATTCGTAAAATTCACGAGCAAATTCATATCGACATAATCAAAAACGACTTTTCAAAAATAGTTTTTTTGTTTTCACAAAGTTTCGCGCGGTATAAATGTTTGCAAATGAATTTTTTCAAACGAAAACCGCCAGTCGTCCTCTTAGAGATTAATTCACTAACAACTACAAATCTGTGCTTCCGACATTTGCCGGAATCGATTGTATTGGAATGCGAACGCGACATCCCTGTGGGATAAAGCGCAGCTCTGTGGGATAGTAGGACAGTGCTTCCTGTAATACCGGGTGTGACATGTTATCTCTTTACTGGCACGATATGCAAAATAGCAATTCACACGGAGCTACATAAACAGTCAGCAGAAATCGTCGGCGCGTGATCTTGAAGTTGTTTGTCCGAGTGTCCGTTCTTCTGATCCATCATGCGCAGGGTAAATTGGAAGTCAGCCTCGGGCTATCAAAGCGGCTGTAACGGCAAACGAGCGGTGAATCCATCGCATAGAAAGCTGGCTAAATGGCTCAGAATTTGGGGCCGAGCACGATACAACGCGCAGATCTATTCTTACATTGTAATTATATAAATATCTTCGTTACACACATATTCATTGCGAACATATTTGGTCTGTTTCGTCTTTGCCAGGTATGTTTGCGCGCGTGCACACACACACACAACCATACGTTTGACTGTTTTAGATATACTATTTGTCATTGAAAGGAAACGTTAGAGAGAGGACGAGAGATGTAATAATTGCGAAAGCTAAAATAAAAGAGAGTTTAGCGAGAATTCTTTTTTCTTCTTTCTTGCTTCTGCGCGTCGTTTCTTTTTCGTAGACTAACGGTTTTCACGGCATCGCCTACGATGTTCATATTGACACTTCTGACGAAATATCAGGAACATAATGGGAGATCTGCTAGGATACGAGACAAATGATGCGATATCATGATGAAACGCATCATTATCAGCTGTCGACGTGCCAAATATTCGCGTTGGTTACACGCAAAATATCTCTCAACAGACGCACATCAAGTTAACAAAGATTTCGTCGGCAAGGCATAAAGAAGAGATAAACTCTCATAAAAATACATATATGGAAATAAACAGTATACACGATTAAAAAAAGCAAATAAAGCGTGAAAATTATTTTCAAATATTATACTATCACAGTGTGTGTATGTGTGTGTGTGTGTGTGTGTACACATATTTTGCATAGAATTTCCCTGAATTCTCTAACGAGACTCACACGCGGAAAAGAGATTTTAATAAACGTTCGAACACGACTCCGAAACGAGATTTTAGCTGAAATATTTTCGCCAATATTTCTCTATTCATCCTGGAAATAATTCAGACTCGTTCGATACCGTTCCATAAATATTTTTCTAAGATGCTGGTGCGGGGCCGCAGTTTCACTGCTCTTCTCTCTCCTTTCGACTGTATACTTACCAATGACCATCACTCATTGTGATCAATGACGTGTACGAAACACACAAGCGGTAAATTTCACAGTTTCTTCTTGGCTACGGCGATTAAGAATGTTGAATTTTCGCCGCGATAGCCAAAAGATTTATCACGGACGATATATAGAATCTTTTATCCATGTAAAATATCAAGGATTTTTGCAACGTTTTCGAGACTTTTCGCTTCCGTTTTCGCTGCGCGCAGTAAATATAAAATTTATGGAGATTGATTGTATCGTTTACTATACCGTAATAATCCTGGAATATAAATGTCACACCTTTTTAATCCTCATGCGGCCAGTTATTAGAAACATGAAAAGCGTGCGAGGCGATACTTTTAAATTACGTTAGATACATTCGACGTAAGAGAATCTGTTCTATCGCTTCTTGTTATTTCAGCAATATTATATAGTCTCGTTTTATTGCTGTGCTTCAAATATATTGCTTATATTATTTCAATAATATTTCTCAAACTGCAAATATTCTCAAAAAAATATTTCAACATTTAATTATACTGTGTGTTATCAAAAAGAGAGAGAGAGAGAGAAAGAAAGACAAAAGTAAATAAGTAAATAAATAAAAAGTTTATACAATTCTGAAAAGTAAATAAAGAATAAAGTCCTTGATATAAGTTTGAAGCAAAAGAGAGAATTGTAATGATAACTTGGCAGGAGTCGTTTATAGAAAACGAGAGAATATGCAAAATCAATAGAAAGCATTGTTTGACGCTACCTGTACTCACCGATCTCCGGTATGTTCCTGTCATGATCGCCTTCGGCTAAGAACTGCAACAGAAATGTTTTATAATTTTAGATGGATATTCTCATATTTTAATAACATACATAGATGAGACTATATACGAAAAAGATATAGAAATATATCTATACTGCAAAAACTTTTGCATCTTGAACTACGTAAGACTTTATCATACCTTTGCATGTATACTTATGTTCCTATAAATGTTTTCTGTATGTGAATTTGTGTTTTTTTGTTTTTTATTTCTAGAATTAATGTAAAAATTATCATAATCTTATAAATAACTTTATTCAGTAATTTTGCAACTAATTTTATTTTCAAAATATGTACTCTTTGTTTGAATCAAATGAAGTTTACTCTGAACGATTCTAGTCTGCAAAAACAATGCAATAGCGCGACAATCGAAGAAAACCTTCAATCGATGACAGACTTTAGCAAAAAAGGAACTTTGAGGACGCGAAAGGGATTGACAATCCCGTGAAACACAGCAAAAAACTGAGAGAAATAAAAATTTTTACATCGCATTTCCAGCTTATAAAACTTGTCGAAATTGTTTTGCAACAATATTTATGTAATTTTCTTTTTAGTAAAGTTAGAAAAAAACTTAACTTATAACTTACTTTCTTCACAGATATATATATATATATATATATATGGATTTGTTGAACAAGAGTACTTTTTATGTTTTTTATGTTCATGTTGTAAACGTGTAGGCAGGGGGGTTTTTTCCCCCCCTGCACCCACCAAAATCTCTAACCCATCCCAACCTGTATTACTACGGCTGCGTTCCGAGTTACGCATATGCGCGCATTTATCTATACTATACGTAACGTGTACTATAAATAAATGCGCGCATATTCGTAACTCGGAACGCAGCCTACAATATCATAAAGAGTGAGTGAAGTTCTTTCGAAGGAGATGCAGGAGAAGGGGACTATCCCCCTCCCCCTGCCTACACGTGTACAATAATATGTGATACAAACAAAATATTTACTTGTGAAATGTACACGATGTCCAAAAAATAATTGCCGCGGAACACATATAGGTAGGATTCAGTGTAAAAATAACAACAGTTTTTGGCGGATATCTCAGAAACTAATCTCAAACGGCGGTTATATGTAAAGAAAAAAGTTGTTCAAAATTTTGTTTTCTACAACATATTAAAAAATCATCGAGATCGGAAGACCTCGTAAATATAATTGTAATTAATTAGAGAATTTTCGAATTTTACGGTTTTTTAAATAAAGAGAGGAAGCATAATTGTTTTGAGCTCCGCCGATTGATTCCTCATTAGACTGACATAAAACGTTTTTTAAAAAAACCGGATTAAAATACATAGCTAATTTTCGGAAAAGGAGCTAAACTGCATATTTACCCAATATCCTCTTGTTTTTTGTTTTTGTGTCTCTTGTAAAAAAAACAAATTGTTTTTTAGTCGCAATTGTTTTAGTTGCATTACGTGTTGTATCTATGGAAGAGAGAATTAAAATCGCGATTAATTAAACGAAGTAAGAAAGTAGATGTACGGCGATTGACAATTAAACAAGGTAGCGGTCGGTGGTTTCAGCAATTAAATTAAGCAACGACATCGTAAAATATATGCACGAGCGTCTTGAGACACGGTAAAACAACGAAACGAGAGGGAGGACGTACATATTTTCGTACAAAAAAAGAAGGTTCAGTCGTCTTCTTTTACTTCTTCTCCGGGTAGTCGTGCCAGCTGTGGTCTTCTGCGCAAAATATAAACCAGGCTTATTCGCGGAAAATCGTGACTTTCCCGAGAAATAAAAACTAACGAAAGAAGTATCCCACGACCGTCTTTTATCGCGAGAGGAATTCCTAGGTAACCTCTTTCCATCGGGAGATGTTCGCGAGAAAGAGAAACGGGGAAGAGGGAAACTTCTTGAGATAGAAGCCTCTTCCTTCCAGAGGTTAGACCTTCCGGGGGCTTGGGAAATCGATAAAACCCTTTCCTCGCCCTCCGGGCTTCCTGCAATTCTAGTCGATTTAGGGCTCGCGTCGTCTTCTCGCGCTCGAACGTTCGATTGGATCCAATAACATCGCACGTCGAAGACTGATTAAAGATATGATCTCGCTGTTACCTTGCTATATCCGCACTTCGTATTACTATATCGTTATCCGTGATATTGAAGCGTCTTCCGCTTCTTCCACACTGACAGCTTTTTATTTATCAGTGAATTAATATATCGAAAAGAGAGAGTTTGCCACTTGTACTGTGATCAAATTCCAAATACTATTACATATATATTTTTGTCAATTGATCACAAAATAGTTTTTAGGTGTGTCTTGCAATACGTATATTAAGACGAATCTTTCTTGTTATAAGAAATATTGCGCGTTAATCATTCGGATAAAAATGGAAGGACAGAAAATATTTGACATCGTCGTGATTTATTTTCGCGTCAATGCATTGTCTTCATTGCGAACATTCTGTACAAGTCTTCGTAACGACAACCTTTTTCTGTTCATAAGTTCTCGGTGTTCAAAACACCGCCGGAAGGATTAATGAAAACTCACTTCGTTGTCCACCTACAAAAACTGAGCTTTAAGTGAAATTGATAAATAGGAACTTGCGAAAATTCTCGCGAAACCTTGCTCCTATTTGATAAACTTCGCTCTGCAAATTTTGAAGCCAATCTGCAAAACTTTTCGCTTGTACAACGCTTTACGGATTCGTGTTGCACAGAAAGAAATGAGTATCGCAAACATGAATGTTTCGTAAACTTTGCGGAACTCGCAGAAATGTATTTATTGACAAACCCGGTCTAACTTTTGTTTTACAACTTATATTTTTTGGGGGGGGTTTATTTACGATGTCTGTTTTGATAGTTTCGCTAAAAAACATTCTGTTTTTAGAGCTGAAAAAACTTGCCATTAAAAATACTGAAATAAAAAACAGAATGTATATATATAATTGCCAAACAAAACGAAAACTTCACACAACAATAAATAACGTAAAATTTATGCGCGATTTTAAAGCAACTTAACAAAATGCGTCCACATTCTTCAAGCTGCCGTGACTTTTTTATGTAATATTATATTCCATGTGTGTGGGGTTAGAGTAATAAAAACTTGTTCCTTTTATGTCGTTATCTATCAATATGGCCGTGAAATTAACAACGGGCCACGTGGACTGCTCGAGTCTACAATGTTTGCCAACTCGTTGAATTTATCTCAATTCCATTAGTACGCCTATATTTAGACATGTAGATCGACGTTTAGCAAGATTGCCGTTTGTAAATCACGGCCGCAACTCTTCTCTTTTTGGACGTTAATAAAATCATGACAAAAACGACCTTGGTGTTGTTTTATCCCATTTAAAAGCCTGTTTGCCGCGAACAATTACTCGACGCAAACAAATTAACATGCCACAATTCTGCTGTGCGAAGTTTTTTTTTCCAAAACAGCTTCTTTTTCTATGGTAAAATATACTTAACTTTTATATTTTCTTCTGCAAAAAGTTAATCTCGAAAAAAATAGATTCATTTGCTGAAGATTTAAATCAGAAGACGTGTGAGGTAAAAAAGAGAGGGAGCGAAGAAGACAGAGAGAGAGAAGAAGAGTGTTTTTCGTGGAATGGTCGTTTTTCCACTTTTTTTTTACAAAGAAAGATGCGTATGATAAATGCAAAGTGGTTATTTGAGTAGTTCATAATTTATAAATTACATATTTTGATAGTTTATATGTGTAATTAAGTGAAAAACCAAAGTTTTAGATTGAAGCACTGAACAGAATCGGAAAGATTTTTCTGTCATAAAAAAACGTTCCTGGCAAAATAAAATTTAGTGGCTACTAATGTTTTCCGAGAAAGAACGACAAAAATTCGATTTTGTAAAAAAACCTGGATGTATATAAGACATTTACAGATTTTCTTTGAATACTTCTTGCATAAAATAACTGAGCTATATATATATGTGTGTGTGTGTGTGTGTATATATATGTACATATATATATTTATATATATATATATATATTTCTCTGCAAAAAAATATATATAATTATATAATTATTAAAATGTTGCTAAACATTGTGATATAATATTCAAGTTTTGTATAAATATATATTTCATATGTGCTAGCGTTCATTACCGATGATTACATGAAAATTTTCCAATATTCTTTTAAGTTTAATTAAATATTCTTGACGTTTCGCAAACTTCTGACAGAGATGTCGAACGACAGCTAGGCTGTGCACCGAAGAAGCCAGAATTTAATATCTTTAACTAATTGCTTGTTAAACTTTCAGATGACTTAAATATTCACAAAATAAATACATCAAAGCGAAATTTTGTTATTACTGACAATATATTAAAGAGAATAACAGTAAATTGCAAAATGCAACCAGGCTTTATGTACGTACGAGAGTTTTTTATCGTGTTGTTATCTCCCATATCCTATCGATGGTTGTAAGCAAAGTTGTTTTCTCGCTAGGTATATAACATCCTATAAATTCCCTTGGCTGCCTTATCATTCTTTATCCGTCAGCGAGATGGCGAGTCGATAACATGAACAAAGACGCGAGCGAACGAAGAGATAAATGAGCGCAACTGCGCAAAATTCGATTTCCTTCGGTTTTGCGCGGACGCTAGAAAGTTTCCGCGTAATGCGATAAATGTGTAAAACAAGAGAGAGGCGAGCTCAGTACTGCGTTTATATGTCGTCATTATACCGATTGAATGAAGCTTCGATTAAATCGCACGGAAACTCAGGACTCATTGATTAAAGCGACAACGGAAGAAGGAAGGGAGAGAGAGAGAGCCCGAACATTGCCGCCGCGAATATACCTACTTTATCAAATTTACATACATGAATGTACAACGTCAATCGAAAGACTCGTGACGTCGCAAATTACTCGATTAATTTCAGTAAAAAATTACAGGTTGTTGCTTTATGAGTAAATCTACGATTAAATTTTAAGTAAAACATTTTGCGTGTAATTGATGGTGTACGTTGAGAAGCAAAAATATCGAAATTTTTTTTATTCATTCTTTTTGAACTTTTAATTTTTT